TGTTAGTAATAATCTTAGTTTCCTAAAATAATTTCCTTATGAGTGGAAATCATAGACATTTTTCTACTTTGAAAACAACTGTTTAGTTTCCATTTGGTGCCTCCCTACCAAGTTGCATAAGTCACTGCCAAAGAATTTTGGCAAACGTCTTATAGTTCCAGGAGGGGATATTCAGGTAATCCTTGTGAGCCCAATATTTTATCTTAATAAACCTAAATATTCCCTCTCCCATCCACTCATTATTACAGCATCATTTCTGGAGGTTTAATGAACAGGAAATCTACCTACGGTATACTTATTGCCTGAGTTCATCCATTAGAGCTGATGACACTTGTCTAATATTCAGTGTTCTGCTATGCTGGGCAACTTTTTTTTATAGTGGGATTGTGATGAAATTGAATTGTACCCGTGGAACCAAATCCAACAAGAAAAACATAAAGCTATTCACTAACTTGAATTCAATGAATCTTAAGAAAGGCTTTTAATTGGGACCTCACAAGTTAATGTTTCCATACTTCAGTATTTCCTAGATGTGAGAAACTAATCTGGATAGCAAATGCCTCAAATTCACCATCCTAAGGACATTTCTGGGTTTCGACTCTCAAAACTCAAATATACACTGGTATAGCATCTAGTATGTAGAATGAATGCTTTGATTAATATTAATAATAATAAAAATCCTTGCATCTGATATAGCGCTTTTCACGTCTTCTCGATGTCCCAAAGCGCTTCACAGAATAGACTGTAAAGTGAATTGACCGTATATTTGTGGGCGAACGCGGCAGTCAATTGTGCACAGCAATGTCCCACAAACAGTTGTAGATTGAAAATGACCAATTATTTATTGTATTTGGTTTTGGAGGGATTATTATTAGGCGTGTGGAGTAAGGAAACTTGCCCAAGGTTTCGCCCTGACCTGCCTGGAATTGAACTCGGGTCTCTCGCTTGCAAAGCGAGTGTTCTAACCACTGAGCTACAGGACTCCACAATTGCGCACAGCAGTGTCCCACAATCAGTCGTGGATTGAAAATGACCAATTTATTATTGTTTTATTTTGGAGGGATTATTAATAAATACAATGGGAGCATTCATTTTCAAGCCCTATCCATTAGATGCTGTGTTAAAGAAGTAGAGAGTGATCACCTTTCAATTGGTCTGTATTTTAATCCTATAACTAAAAAAAAGGTATATGTCTTAAGTGACAGGTAATGAGATAATTCGGTACACAAATTAGCTGCAATGTTCTCCCACACAGTCACTATATTTTATAGCAATTCCTTGTGAAGGGCTTTGAGTTGCTGTATCAAATGCAAGGATTGTTATTTAGTTCCAGGCAATGAATCACAGTGATTCCAGTGAGTAGATTTACATTGAGAAAAGTCCAGTAGTTTTCTCTGATTGACAGTAATGGTATGGGGACCAATGCTGGATATAACCAAGTTGAAGAGAATCAGTATGTTATATTAATCAAAATATTAGAGACTTCAAGACATAAAAAACCCTGTAGTCCTAATGTAAACTGACTTCTCTCCAGATAAACAAAAATCCAAAAGTGCAGGAAAGAGACCAACAACAACAACTTGGATTTATATAGTGCCCTCAGAGCGCTTTACAGTGACGGATCCCGGGTCCGAGCCAGGTGGAGGGGAAGGAAGGTGACCAAAGGTGCGGTCGAAAAGAAAAGTCTTCAACAGAGACCTGAAAATGGGAAGGGAGGGAGAGAGACGAAGAGGAAGACAGTTCCAGATCCTCGGGGCATAGTGGCTGAAGGCACGGCCGCCGAGGGTGGAGTGAAGGACTCGGGGGACGAGGAGGAGGCCAGACCCGGAGGAACGAAGGCAACGGGTACTGTTTTGAGGAGAGAGGAGGTCAGAGAGGTTGGGGGGTGCGGAGGAGTGCAGGGACTTGAATACAAGGGTGAGGATCTTGAAATCGATCCTCTGGGATAGGCAGCCAGTGCAGTCTGACGAGGACTGGGGTGATCGGGGAGCGGAGTTTCATGTGGGTGAGAATGCGGGCGTCAGAGTTTTGAATGATTTGGACTTTATGGATGATAGCGGATGGGAGCCCAGCCCAGTTGGAGTAGTCCAGCCGAGAGGTGACAAAGGCATGGACCAGGGTTTCAGCGGCTTTTGGGGAGAGGCATTGGCGGAGATGGGCGATGTGTTGGAGGTGGTAGAAGGCGGTGCTGGTGAGGGACCTGGTTTGGGGGAGGAAGGATAATTGGGGGTCGAACCTGATGCCTCACTACAAACACTGCTGCTGAAACCACAAGCAACACAAGCTTGTAAATTACAAGCACTTGCACTGTAGCAGAATGCATCAATGCCAAATTGCCAAAACATGAGCACTTGCTTACCACAAGGATTATGAGCATTACCAATGCAAGAAAGTAAAATTAAGAATTTTCTATAAACTTGTAGACAACAACAATCTCAGACAAATATGGAGGAGCAAGTAAGTGCAAAATTCAGTGCACATATCTAATGCTATATTTATTCTGTGGATCACAGTGATTTTGACAAGTGATTTGATACCAATCATGCAACATAAATGTAGGCTCAGCGAGTATAAATCACACAATAACCTCACTCTTGAAGTTTGAAGAATCAGATAGTTTCAGGACCAATGTGGCTTCCCTGCAAGCAACATAAATGCACTTAAAGACACAACTATTAGAACAACTGCAGGATATGTACAACACCAATATTCAATTTTTGAAAATGAAAATGCTTGGAATCCTCTCCAAACTGAAATCTCTTATCCAATGCTGTACCACAGAAATGGTTGCACTGGAGATATACACAATAGTACATCTCGGGTAGTTCAGTTTTGGATTATGGCTTGAAATCCCAGAGGATCCACTCAGCCCTTTGTGTTTTGAAGTGGGCATGGAGGGCACCCAAATAAATTAGATTACATTTGATTCAGTACCAAAGCCATTTTATTAAACCTGAGACATCTACAAACCAGGTGGACATTAAAGATCCCATGACAGTTTTTGAACTAAACTGCCATTGACTAAATGAACTGGATAGATTTTGTTTTTAATTTTAGCATTCAAAAATTCATTTTTTAGGAAACTCAGATTTCTGTAATAACAAAGCAGATATATACATATATTTCCATATGTCAATTAAAGCACAAGCAAGTATAAAAGTGGAAAAGGATTGTTAGAAAACTGATCTTTGGTGATTATTGCGCACTGATATTGAAGATGTAAGAAGACCTCCAGCAAATGATCAACATACTTTTAAAGGTACACAGGTGTTTGGGCTTCTAGAAAACAAAATTGAGGTTGCAGCTCGCACCAATGCATCATTTTAATTTTTATCTTTCAAGGTTCATCTCGAGACCTTTTCTTTGACCATGCCTTCGGTCATCTTTCCTCTCTCCACCCCCCTTGGCTCCCACCCCCAGCTCAAATGCCAAGCCAGGACTGTGAAGTGCCTTGGAATATCCTCCGATGTAAAAGGTGATATAGAAATGTAAATTTGTATTGTATTATACACACTCAGTAATCACCATCAATGTCAAAGCACATAGTTGTACAGATTCGATCTTTTTATACAGAACTTTTTTTTTAATGTTGTTGCCATTAATTCTTAGATTAGTAATAAAAATAATAATCCTTGCATTTGATATAGCACCTTATTATGTCAGGAGTATATCTCAAAGAGCTTCACAGGATATACTGTAAAGTGTAGTCACTGTTCATTTGTAGGTGAATGTGGCAGCCAATTTGTGCACAGCAATATCCACAAAGAGCGATGAGGTGAATGATCATTTTAATTTGGGGGATTGTTAGCCATTATACTGGGAGAAACTCCCTTCTCTTTTCAAAAACTGTCATGGGACCTTTAACGTCCACCTGAACAAACAGATTTGGTTTAATATTTCAAGAATGACACCTCCAACAATGCAGTACACTCCAGGAACTGCATTGAAGTGGCAGCCTAGGTTATATGAGTTAAAAATCCTGACATTGGACTTAAATCCACAACCAGAAGTGAGAGTGCTACTAACTGAGCCTAGCTGACACCCAATCGCACTAAATCGTAATACTACAGTGCTTTTGGCCATCTTGGAGTACATGAATTCAACCAAATGATATCCAACTGTCTTTCATTTTTCTATCAAAATGTGGGTTGTAATAGCTCAAATAAGGCAAGTCAGTGCAAGCACATCACTGATACTATGAAGCACCATCTTTTTATGTAGCATTAACACAATGAAACAAGCTGTTAGTCACACAAATAAACAGTAAAGATTCATTATCAACAGTATTTAACACTTTCATTTTTGGGCAAATAGCCCAAACAAGGAAAGCATTCATTTTAGCAGCTGAAACAACAAATTCAAAACCAACCTCCTTTTACTTTCATGTGTAGCACATGTGGGGGTTCATCTGTTGTCTTTTGCCAGGCTCATCAGACATCATAGGAATCACAAGTTACTTTCCTCTTGTTGTAGCTGTGAGAATCAGCATCATTCTGATAGATATATTTCCTAGACTTAGTTCTTAAGAGTAATCAAGATACTATTCAAACAACAAGATCACATTTGTATTGTGCCTTTTACGTCGGGAGGACGTGCTAAGGCCCTGGACAATCATATTTCAGACCCAAGCTGGGAGTCGGATGGTGAGGGTCGAGGGCAGCTTAGGAAGGAGGGTAACTGAAGGCATGGTCGAAGAGGAAGGTCTTGAGATGGGTCTTGAAGGAGGCAAGGGAGAGGGTGAGGTGGAGGGACTGCGAGATGGAGTTCCAGAGGGTGGAGGCAGAGTGGCTGAAGACCGCCGCCAATGGTGGGGCGGCAAGGCGGGGGATGTGAAGCAGACTGGAGCCAGTTGAATGGAGGGAGCGGGCAGGTTGGTGGGTGCTTAGGAGGTCGCAGAGGTAAGAGGGAGCAAGGTGATCAAGGGCTTTCAAGGTGAGGACCAAGATCTTGAATTGTACCCTCTGAGTGATGGGAAGCAAGTGGAGTTGGGCGAGGATGGGGGTGATAGGGTCGGGGAACCTGGTGCGGGAGAGGACACGGACTGCAGATTTCTGGATGATCTTCAGCCTATGGAGGGAGGAGATGGGGAGACCGACAAGCAGGGACTATTCATAGTCAAGCCTGGATGTTATGAATGCGTGTATGAGGGTTTCAGCGGCCTCTGGTGTGAGACAGTGGCGGAGCTGGGCAATGTTGCAGAGGTGGGGGAAGGCAGAGCGAGTCATGGCACGGATGTGGGGTAGAAAGGATAGTTGAGGGTCAAATAAGACTTCTTTTGGAGACGGTTAGAACAGATATTGTGAAACCCTACGTGAAAGCAGCCAAAGCACAATAACATTTAATATCCGCAAAACAGTGGACTTTGCAGGAAGAATATGGGTGAATACTGCAAGGTAATAACATCATTCTATGGTAATAAAATGTGACTCTTTTATTTATGTCCTGTAGCTCAGTGATTAGAGCACTCACCTTGCACGCAAGAGACCTGGGTTCAATTGGCGAAAGTTGGGCAAGTTTCCTTACTCCACATGCTTCTGTTTACCTAGCAGTAAGTAGGATCCCAGATGTTAGTCGATTGGCAGATCACTTTTCCAGGGGTAATAATTCCTTCCAAAAAAATGTGGTTACTCAATCCATGACTGTTTGTGAGACACTGATGTGTACAATTGGCTCCCATGTTTCACCCAGAAAATATACAGCCAATTCACTCTACAGTATATTCCGTGAAGTGCTTTGAGACATCTCGAAGACGTGATAAGGCACTATATCAAATGTGAGGATTATTATTGTTATGAGGCTGCAATTTGATATGCAAACATAAATAGCAATATATTTCAACCATATCACCGGGAAAAATTCCAATTGATTCTTCTTAAAAAAAACACTCACAATGTTTTGCTGAAAGCTCTATATGGTAATCTTTCATTTGGCATAGTATATATAATGTTGAAACATCTGAGAGCTTCACAAAGTATTGATGTCAAGTGTGGTGACTGTATATTTGGAGGCAAACTCTACTTCTAATTTAATGCTGTTCAGCACTGAACTGTCTGCCTTGTGGCAACAAATTTTAAGTCTTCAAGACATTAACCTTCTTCATGTAGATGAGATACTTGAATAAAATTGGATACATCTTATTTATTGTATTTGGATATTTACCATTCACTCAGTTACTAAATTCCAGTTTACTTTTTCATAAGAAAATGATTTCTGTCCCTTAGCTTTACCACCGGCTCTCTGCACCACAAACCATAACTTAAAGTACAGGTATTCCAGATTTTTTTTCTGTAAGCAATAACTAATTCTTATAATTACTGTTTCCAGATACTTAAGTTTAAAAGCAACAACTTTGCATTCCCACACTGCCATAACCTAATCAAAACTGTTAAATATTGCACACATCACATCAATCCATTTTGACTGTACACATCAATCAAATCAATCTGCCTCTGTTTACCTAGAGCAAGACCAGGTGTTAGTCGATTGGCAGATCGCTTTTCCGGGGATAATAATCCCTAAAATAATAATAATGTCACTCAATCCACGACTGTTTGTGGGACACTGTTGTGCGCAATTGGCTGCCGCGTTCGCCCACAAATATACAGTCAATTCACTTTACAGTGTGTTCTGTGAAGCGCTTTGGGACGTCCTCCCGACGTGAAAAGCGCTATATCAAATGCAAGGATTATTTATTATTATTATTTATTTGAGACATCTAGAAGACGTGATAAGGCACTAAACTAAATGCAAGGATTATTATTATACTGAAGTCACTAACTAGGGCTTTGAATTTTCAGTTTTAACCAACAAAAATCAATAAAGACCCGTCTCAAGACCAATAAAACACGCCGATACAAAAATAACGAAATCGGTGTTTATTCAATAATACTGGAAATGGTCACTCAACTCTGAGATGCAATTTCCACTGTCCCTCGCTCTCTGGTCTGTGTCCTGGTCCCTATCTGTTGACACAATATTTGTGATACTGAATATGTTATCTATATTTAGATATGAACCCTTGACCCAACAGCACATGAAAGCTCCTTGTGTTAAACATAACTTGGATTACCTACACTCAGCACCCAATCATTTCACAAGACAGACACAGTGATGTGTCGAGTGCATTTGTTAAATTGACTGTCATTGACTGGAAATAAGCTTCATATATGATGACAAATACATAAAGCGACTGAACATACTTTTAAAGATTTTCACAGAGTCAGCGAATTGGTGATGGATGTCTTGATAATCGCTGGTTTCGATACCAGCGACTAAGAGCATGTGTTGAAAATAAAGAGGTCGTTGAATAAAGATTGCCTTCAGGTGTTCCTTGTGCTCTCCACCACACCATGTGGCCTTGGGTCTGGTTTAGTGCTCTGGATCTGTCCAGCGCCAGGTATCGCCAACAACCTGCACATGTATCTGATTCATGGAAACAATTGCTGCGGGAAATAAGATTCCTTAGAGCTTATTTTTTGGACGTCGATTCCTCCCGTTCAGGACGTCGCTCTTGTCTCTGAAGGAGGAAAGGCAACAGGAATGCCCTCTCCTATCCCAATTAACCGCTTTTTGCCAAAAGGCTTTTCGTCCACAGTTACTTTGAGACCCTGCAGTAGCCCTTATCAGCTCCGAGGAAAAGAGCAACGCTTTTCTTTTACCGGACGATATAAAGCGCTGCCGCATCTCTCCTGGTGTACAGTGTTTTGGGATGAGCTTAATTTACTTGATCTTTTGGGTTCAGGCGGCTTCGGGTCTGTTTATAAAGGCACTTACTATGGTAACATCGTCGCAGTAAAAAAAGTGAAGAAATCGACTAAGAACAAACTGGCTTCGAGGCACAGTTTTTGGGCTGAACTGAACGTGGCCAATCTCCGTCATGATAACATCGTGAAGGTTGTAGCAGCCACGACTTCTGTGCCAGAAGATCCAGAGAAAGAGGACAATTTGGGCACAATAATAATGGAGTATGCGGGAGATATCAGTCTGCACCACAGGATCTATAACTGCACGAAAACGCTGGAGGTGGGGAACTGTTTACAATTTTCAAAGGATATTGTGAGTGGACTGAGTTTTCTTCATTCGCACAATATTGTGCACCTGGATCTGAAACCAGCGAATGTGTTGATTTCAGACCAGGGACAGTGTAAAATTGGGGACTTTGGATGTTCTCACAAACTGACGAAAGACGATTTAACGCCCAATGTTCAAGTGCGACACCTCGCCGGTACCTACACCCACAGGGCGCCGGAGCTACTGAAGGGCTGCAACGCCACTCTAAAAGCGGACATTTACTCTTTTGCAATTACTTTGTGGCAAATGATGACCAGGGATCAGCCCTTCTCGGGTGACCGACAGTGTGTGATGTACGCTGTCGTGGCTTATAACCGGCGCCCAACGTTTTCAGCAACTTTCAAAGACTCGTCGATGGGGCAGAAGATTGAACAGATCATTGGTCATTGCTGGAGAGCTGAACCCAACGAGAGGCCAAATGCTGATCAAATATTAGAAACTCTTATTTATCTGCAAGCACAGCATGGAGTCCCTGAAATTGAATAACTTTTTACAGGATTGTTTAAAAAAAGTTTAAAAAAAGAAAAAATGTGTCAAACTCATGAATATTAGCAGAAGGAATGTCTGTCTCAATAAAGCAAATTAAGAATTTTGTGAAATATTTTATTGCAAATGTGAATCGGATATCTCATCTTCAAGTTTGTCAGGGAGACAGGAACACTGCGGGTCATTGGAGTTTTATAGCAGTTAGTAAAATGTGTGTGTGGGTTTAGGGGTTAACAAAAGAGTCATTTTAAAGAGGTCTTTGTTTATTTTGTCACTTCAGAACCGAGTCATTCGTGCTTTATGGCTAAATTGTAAATTTGGAGTTGAGCAATATAAACCCCGGGAGTTGCAAATGTAATGAACTTTGCATTTGATCTGTCTTTCTTCTCAAATTGTCCAAGAGCTCGTGTATTCTCCTACTATTGAGCTGTTGCATTTCAGACCCTGGAAATTTGATGTCCTTCACTGTGCCCATCCAATGCAATCAGTGGGAAATACAAATCCTTCCTTTCCAGCTCCATGTCTTTAAAACCGAGGCATTAATTGGTTAATCTTCACTCGTTGGCCCAGAGTAATACACTGGAAGAGATTCTGGTCACTTTTCGAAATCATTGTGAATGGGAAGTTTTTAACATATGAATTATAACCGTAAATAGATGAGAACTTTTTTAAAAAAAAATAATCGTGTTTGGAATCGTGTGCTTTCACGCTGTGGGGCGCCCCCTTGAGAGGGAGTGACCTGGTGATTGGGGGCGGTCGGGATGCCCGGTGGCTGCTTTATATCCCCTTTGCCAGTTGCTGGTGTTTTACGATGCTCGGATATGAGAGAGAGAGAGACAGACTCGGGACGGAGAAACCGGGTGAGAACCAGGCCCGGGGCCAGGCTGGGAGGCCACCCGGCAACCAGCACCTGATGCTTTGTGGCAGGAAGGTCTTCGGATGAAAGGTCAATTAATGTTTGAAATGCCCGACTCCCATGACACCCTATTTAATAATACCTGAACAGTAACCTCCCCCTAAATGGGGTTATGTTCCTTTTAATTAAAAGGTAAATTGGACATCCTCCAGTGGATGTGTGGCATCATATTGCACTAAGTTCTACAGACCAGGAAGGCAATATTCCTTTGGCGGTAACTGGTCAAAACGAGTTAGAAAACCCCAGCTTGTCGTTTGCCCCAATGTGTACTTGACTGAGAAGGAAAAAAATGGCTTCCTTTTTATATTTTATATTCCCATCATCTCCCGCACCATCTTCCGCTCACACAAAGCCACCTTCGCTCCCTCAAATCTCAGGTGGCTCCGCCGAATGCACCTGGTGCAAATCCAAATCAACAGTTCACCATCAGATCTGGCAGGACTGCACCAAGACCTACCGCTCTGCCCTGGCCTCAAAACATGTTGGAAGCTAAGGACAACCCCTGACTCCTCTTTTCCACCATAAACCAACTCCTCTGTCCACCCTCGCACGCCTTTGCCATCCTCTCCTCCAACACCAAATGCGAGGAGTTGATGAATTTCCTTGTCCAAAGTCAACTATGGATCTGCTCTGTTGCCTCTAGCCCTTCTTCCAGCACCTCGCATTCCTCTCTCCACATGTTTGACCCTGTCTCCCCCTCCTCGCTCACCTTCATCATTTCCTGTATGAAACCCACCATGTGCTCCCTTGACCCCATACCTACACCTCTCCTCACCTTCCAACTCCTTGCCCCCCTACTAACAGACCTCGTTAACCGCTCCCTATCCACTGGCACCAAACCCATCCCCCTAAAGATAGCCGTCATCACCTCTACCCTCAAAAAACCTTCACTTGACCCATATCTGCTCTCCAACTGCCACCCATTTCAAACCCCATTGTGGAGTCCTGTAGCTCAGTGGTTAGAGCACTCGCTCTGCAAGTGAGAGACCTGGACTCAATTCCAGGCAGAGGGCGAAACCTTGGGCAAGTTTCCTTACTCCACACGCCTAATAATAATCCCTCCAAAACAATAATAAATTGGTCATTTTCAATCTACGACTGTTTGTGGGACACTGATGTACGCAATTGACTGCGCGTTCACCCACAAATTCACAGTCACTTCACTTTACAGTATATTTTGTGAAGCGCTTTGGGACGTCTAGACGACGTGAAAAGCGCTATATCAAATGCAAGGATTATTATTATTATTAAACCTTCCTTTTCTATCAAAGGTCATAAAACGAGTTGTCGCTTCACTCTTTCCTCTCCCAGCATTCCCTCCACGATCCCCTCCGATCTGGGTTTCGTGCTGCCCACAACACAGAGACAGTCCTGGTCAAAGTGACAAAGGACATTCTGGCCACCTGCGATCAGGATTCTCTCTGTTTCCCCGTCCTTCTCGACCTCTCGGCCGCTTTCGATACTGTTGACTATACTCTTCTCCTTTCACATCCACCTCAATGTTTCTGTTCTTGCCTGGTTCCAATCCTCTTTCCCAGTGTCTGCACTTGATGGCCACCAATGACTTCTTCTCTAACCTGCATACTGTCATGTGTATTGTCCCTCAGGGCTCTGTCCTCGTTCCTCTCCTCTTCAATCTATACATGTTCCCACTCGGAGATGTCACCCACAGGCATGGGGTCAATTTCCACATGTATGCGGATGACACCCAACTCAATCTCGCCACCATAGACTCTAGGACTGTTGATGTCCTGGGTAATTATCTGCCTAAAATTAAGTCCTGAATGAGAGCCAACTTCCTCCAGCTCAATGTTGACAAGACAGAGGCGCTCCTGCTTGGCTCCCGGCAGCACCTCCTCACTTCAGTCGCTGATGCTATCACCATTCATGGCTGCACTCTTCACCTCACTAATCTGAAACCCTTGTGTCCTTTTCGACCCTCAGCTATCCTTCAAACCCTACATTCATGACCTGATCGAATGCCTGTCCAACATCAAGTCCTGGACGAGGGACAACTTTCTCCAACTCAATGTCAACAAGATCAAGGCCCTCCTGATTGGCTCGCGCCAGATCCTCTACACCTCAGGCGCTGGCAGCATCAGCCTCCACGGCTGCCCACTCAATCTCACTAAGCCAGTCAGGAACCAGGGTGTCTTGTTTGACCCTGAACTGTCCTTTCTCCCCCACATCCGCTCCATAACTGGCACTGTCTACCACCACCTCCGCAACATTGCCAGACTCCGCCACTGCCTCACCCCTCAGGCTGTCAAAACCCTCACTCACGCATTCGTCATATCAAGGCTCGATTACGGAAATTCCCTCCTCATCGGCCTTCCCAACTCTTCCCTTCACAAGCTGCAGATCATCCAAAACTCTGCAGCTCGTGTACTCTCGCTCACCAGGCTCCATGACCCCATTACTCCCACCCTCGCCCGATTCCACTGGCTCCCCATCCCCCAGAGGATCGAGTTCAAGAACTCGTCCTCACTTTCAAGGCCATCCGTGGCCTTACCCCTCCTACTTCTCTGACCTGCTGACTCCCTACCAACCTGCCCGCTCCCTCCGTTCATCAGGCTCCGGTCTGCTCCATGTCTCCCGCCCGACCTGCCCTACCATCAGTGGCCGGACTTTCAGCCTCTCTGCTCCCACACTCTGGAACTCCATCCCACGGTCCCTTCGACTCGCTTCCTCCCTTGCCTCCTTCAAGGCCAGTCTTAAGATCCTTCTCTTCAATCGTGCCTTTGGTCGCCCTCCCACCTCTCTGCCTTCTCTCACCCCTATACCACTCCTCCCCCATGCTCGAGCCCCGACACGTGACTGTTCAGCACTTTGGGACATCCTCCCGACGTGAAAGGCGCTCTATAAATGTAATTTTGTTGTTGTTGTGACCCGTTCTGCCTTTCCACACCTCCATAACATTGTCCGCCTCCACCACTGCCTCTCACCACAGGCCGCTGAGAATGATCTATGCTTTCATTACGTCCCAGCTTGACTATGCCAACTGCCTGCTTGCTGGACTTCCTAACTCTTCCCTCCACAAGCTGCAGATTATTCAGAACTCTGCAGCTTGTGTCCTCTCTCGCACCAGCCTCCAAGAACCTATCACCCCTGTTCTTGCCCGGCTTCACTGGCTCCCCATTCCTCAGAGAATTGAATACAAAACCCTTGTTCCTCCATGGTCTTACTCCCCACTACCTTTCCTCCCTCATCAGCCTGTCTGCTCCCTCCGCTCGGCGGACACCTACCTGCTTCAGGTCACCTGCACTTCCCACCCCACTATTGGCGGTCGGGGATTCAGCATCTCTGCCCCCACACTCTGGAACTCTATCCTGTAATCTCTCCACCTCAACACCTCTCTTGCTCCAAGTCCTGTCTGAAGACCTTGCTCTTCGATTGTGCCTTCAGACACCCTCCCAACCCCTGCCCTCCTCCCCTTCTGACCCCAACTCCCAGCTCGGGTCCAAAACTCGATTGTCTAGTGCACTGGGTTGTCTTTCTGACATGAAGTTTGCTATACAAGTGTAATTTGTTGTTGTTGATTTGCCGTTCAGTGATCTCCCACAGCATCCCGATGAAGTCATGATTGGTCTCTGCTGTAATTATCTGCTATTGCTCCATTCAAGTTCGCATATGAAGAATGGCTACTTGACAACTTCCTTGAAGGAATACTGCCATTCCTCATAAAACCGTACCAAGTGTGAGCAATTAACTTCGAAAGGGGAAGGGTCAGGAGAATGAATGGGTTTTGTGGATGTGTGAAGGAATACATTCACTTAATAGTTGACTGTTGGGAGTGTGGAGCTGCTGAGCACTATTGTGTTAGTGCTTGCAGTCAGTTTTTTTTACAAAACAACCTGATATTGTCTTGTTCTATAATGTTCTATATATTGTTAGTTGTATGCAAGTTTTGTAGTTTAATATAGAAAGCAATGTCTTAACCTGGTATCACCTTATGTCCTCTTATCTAGTTTGGTAATGAGTTTGATGTTTTAACAATTTAACCCATCACTTTTTGTGGAAAAGTGAATTCTAACATACAGATGGGATTAATGACTTATAGAAACAGGAGTAGGCTATTCAGCCCAGCTAGCCTGATTCTATAAGATCACAGCTGATTTGTACCTCAACTCCAATCACCCATCTTTCCACATATCCTTAACCTAATAAATACCTATCCACCTCAGTCTTGAAAATATGAAATGGATCCAGCATCCATAACCTTTTGGGGGAGAGAGTTCCAGATCTCCACTACCCTTTGGGTGGAAAAACTACCTCCTAATTTCGTTCCTAAATGACCCAGCTCTAATTTTAAAATTATGTCCCCTTGTTTTGGATTCTCCCACCAGAGGAAATAGTTTTTTTGCATATACCCTATAGAATCGCTTTATTTTAAAAACCTCAATCAGATCACCCCTCAACCTTCTAAATTCAAGAGAATAGAAACCAAGTTTACGCAACCTGTCCTTATAATTTAATCTTTAAGCCCTGGTAACCTTCTGGTGAATCTGCGCTGCACCCCCTCGAGAACCAATAACTCTTTCCTGAGGTGTGGTGCCCAAACTGAACGCAGTACTCCAGATAGGGTCTGACCAAGGCGCTATAAAGTTGAAGCATCATTTCCGCTCCTATATATTCCAGCCCCCTTCAGATAAAGGCCAACAGCCCATTTGTCTTTTTGATAAGCGTCTCAGAGCGCTTCACAGTAACGGATCCCGGGGCCGAGGGAGGGGGAGGGAGGTGACCAAAGGCGAAAAGAAAGGTCTTCAGCAGAGACCTGAAAATAGGAAGAGAGGGAGCGAGGCGAAGGGAGTGAGGAAGGGAGTTCCAGAGTCTTGGGGCACGGCCACCGAGGGTGGAGCGGAGGACTCGGGGGACGAGGAGGCGGCCAGACCCGGAGGAACGAAGGCAACGGGTACTGTTTTGAGAGAGGTAGGGGGTGCAGAGGAGTGGAGGGACTTGAATACAAGGGTGAGGATCTTGAAGTCGATTCTCTCTGGGACAGGCAGCCAGTGCAGTCTGGCAAGGACTGGGGTAATCGGGGAGCGGAGTTTCGTGCGGGTGAGAATGCGGGCGACAGAGTTTTGAATGATTTGGATTTTATGGATGGTAGTGGATGGAAGACTGGCAAGGAGGGCGTTAGAATAGTCCAGCCGAGAGGTGACAAAGGCATGGACCAGGGTTTCAGCGGCTTTTGGGGAGAGGTATTGGCGGAGACGGGCAATGCGTTGGAGGTGGAAGAAGGCGGTGCTGGTGAGGGACCAAATGTGGGGGAGGAAGGATAATTGGGTGTCGAACCTGACACTTAGGTTGCGTACGGGTTCGGAGAGTTTTAGGGGGAGGTCGGGTAGGTGGAGGAGGTGAGAGCCATGAGATTTTAGACGTTGACGAGAGCCAGAGAATGGCGTCGGTCTTGTCAACGTTCAGCTGAAGGAAATTTGCACTCATCCAGCCCCTGAAATCTGACAGAATATCAGGGGACTGGGGGTTGCAAAGAGAGGTGGAAAAGTAGAGGGAGCATGTAGATCAGAGTGAGAAGGGGGCCAAGGATGGATCCTTGGGATACCCCGCAGGTAACCGGGTGAGAGCGGGAGAAGCCGTTTATACAGATGTACTACTGGCGGTTTGTGAGGAGGACTCGAGCCAGGCGAGTGCGGTCCCACTGAGGTGGATGGAGAAAAGGCGGTGGAGGAGGATGGCGTGATCGACTGTGTTGAACGCAGCGGAGAGGTCCAGGAAGACAAGGAGGCAGAGGGAGCCCCGGTCACAGATAGAGAGGATGTCGTTTATGACTTTCACAAGCGCAGTCTCTGTACTGTGGGCAGAGCGGAAACCGGACTGGAGGGATTCGAAGTAGGAGAGGTGTGCACAAAGTTGATTGGCCTTGCTCCCTCCTACCTCTCCGACCTACTATCCCCCTACTTACCTGTCCATACCCTCCGTTCCTCTGGCTCCGGTCTGCTCCACATTCCCCGCCCCAACCGCCTTACCATCGGTGGCCGGGCCTTCAGCCTCTCAGCCCCTAGGCTCTGGAATTCCATCCCCCAGTGCCTTCGTCTTGCCTCCTCCCTTTCCTCCTTCAAGGCCGGTCTCAAGACCTTTCTCTTCGACCGTGCCTTCAGCTCCCCTCTCGACTCTCTACCGCCTCCTCGCTCGCTCCCTCCCTTCCATCCCCTCACCCTGACCATTTCCTCCCTGCTCGGGTCCCGACTCAATTGTCCAGCGCCTTGGGACGTCCTCCCGACGTGAAAGGCGCTCTTTAAATGAAATCTTGTTGTTGTTGGCAACAACGCGTTCTAGGACTTTTGCGAAGAAGGGCAGGTTAAAAATAGGGCGGTAGTGGTTGGGGTTTGAGGGATGTAGGGAAGGTTTTTACAGGAGGGGGGTGATGACAGCAGTTTTGAGGGAGGCAGGGACTGATCCAAAGAGAGGGACTGGTTGATGATGTTGGCAGTAGTGGGCAGAGGAGGGGGAGCTGGGTGACCAGCAGGTTGGTGTGGAGGGGTCGAGGCAGCAGGTGGTGGGCTTCATGGAGGTGATGGTGGGTGAGAGGGAGGAGGGAGACATGGGGAGGAAGGAATGTAGAATGGGGGTGGTGGTAGGAGCAGATGATGTGGAGGGTGAGAGGGACAGTGAGGGTGTGGAGGTGGGTGACAAGAGGCAGGTGGATGAGGCTGCCTGGCGGATGTTAAGTATTTTAGATGAAAAGAAGTCCATATAGAGAGCTTTGTAAAATTCTGACTAACACATCTACAATTTCCTCCCCTACTTCTTTCAATACCTTGAGGTGGAAGCAATCAAATGCTGGAAATATGTCTATCTCTAGTCCTATTATTTTCTCCAGTACCATTTTTTAATTAATATTAAATCCATTTAGTACTTCTCTTGGGCTTACGTTTAGGTTCCCTCATACTGCTGGTATTTTGTCCTCCTTTTCCACTGTGAAAATGGAAGCAAAGTAAACATTCCAATCAAGAAACCTGCAAAAAAATTCCTCATTAATAGTTATCGTGGTCATTAATTGCATAACGATGGCACTTGTGCACATGTTTGCACAACATCCAAATGCTGTATGCGAGTTCCCTGAGCTTTCACATCAGACTCCAATCTCTCAATTTCATTTTACGATGACTAAACTGGGCAACTTGTGTGTGTGTGTATATATATATATACACACACACACATACATTGTACACGTCCAAACAAAACGAGCGGCTGTAGTGTTTCGGGGTTAGTTGTGTCTGATACATGTGGAAAGCCATCGCAGGCTGAGAAGTATCCAAACCGGACCAAGTATCTCAGATCTGCAACGCCCCCCTGGACTCGCAGGGCAGGGCCTCCCCTGCAAAAGCCGAAGCTCCGACAGGTAGGGTGGGCCCTCCCTGGCCGAGCCGCGGGAGAGCTCGCCAGGCAGGGCCCCGGCTACTGGAGAGGGCTCGACCACTGCTCTTTCATCTTCTCCTCTTTTTTTTCCCCCCCCCCTCCCCATCAACTGTTATCTTCTTTCCCATTTCCTCCCTCCGCGCTTGACCGAGTAACGCCGCGGTAACGTTAACTGCCTGAGCTCCCGCTGCTGCCGCCGCCGCCGCCAGGAGGCGGAGGATACCCTCACTGTGCGGCTGATGTCCCGGGTAAAGAGAGAGGGGGTGTGGGCCAAGTTCCCTTCCGGGGCAGGACGGACCGGGTCGCCATTTAAGCGACGCTGCCGCCTCGCCTCTTCCTCTTTTGCCGGATGTCTGAGTGAGGCGGACGGTACTCTACTCTCCTCCTGACTCACCGCTGTTCGCTCGCTTGCTCACCTGCTTTTTTTGTGGCAGAAAAGTCGACGATTAAGTCGGTCAGGAAGTTACCAATGGTGAGGGCCGGGGAGGCGGGGAGGGGGCGAGGGCCGGGGAGGGGGCGAGGAGCGGGTGAGGTCCGGGGAGGGGGCGAGGAGCGGGTGAGGCCCGGGGAGGGGGCGAGGGCCGGGGAGGGGGCGAGGAGCGGGGAGGCCGGGAGGGGGCGAGGGCCGGGGAGGGGGCGAGGGCGGGGAGGTCCGGGGAGGGGGTGAGGGAGGAGGAGCGCGTGAGTGAGGGGAGGGAAGCGACGGTTGAGATTTGAATCGAGCAGCGCGAGTGCGGGCCAGAGCGAGGCTCCCTCTCTCCCCCCCCACTCCCGGCCGAGGAGCCGCCGCCGCCGACCTCCTGTTGTACAGCGGCCCCGAGCAATGTGGGGACGTTGTCCTGCCAGTCCGCCCCTCGTCTGCCTCCCCGCCTCCGCCCGAGGTTTACCTCTGAAGCCCGGGCGCGTCGCTCCCTGGGCGGCCATGGCCGTACCTCGAGAGGAGGCTTCTGTCGGCCGACGTTGAACCCGAGACCACGTCACCCCGACTGTCTGCCGGCAAAGTGAAGGCAGTTCCTCCCTCCCGGCGCTCGGGGCCAACACATTCCCCTCCCGCCCCCAGTTTTTAAAAAAAACACAGTCACTTCACTTCATGGCTGGTTTGTGATGTCGCTGTGCTCGACCTGGGCGGCCACGTTTGGTCACAAAATAGCTCCTTGCACTTCACGGTGCGCTTGTTACTGCCCTTGTGGGTTTCAAGTTAAGTGTAACACCTTTTCTCAAGAAGCAAGACGTGTGGTCCCAGCAGAGACCAGCAAAGTATTTCGTGGTATAACGTACATGAGGGAAAAGAGGGATGCGAGAGAGGAATGGCGGGGAGGGGGAGGGGGTGGTGCAGGATGAACACTGGACTAATTGGGCCAAATGGCTTGCGACCGTGCAGTGAGGCTCTATTTCTGTGCACTGGAACTCCATCCCGCGATCCCTTCGCCTCCTCCCTCGCATCCCTCAAGGCCGGTCTCGAGACCCTTCTCTTCGACCGTGCCTTTGGTCTCCCCCCCCCCCCACCTCTCTCCGCCTTCCCTCACCCCTACCGCCACCCCTCCCCCATGCTCGAGCCCCGACACCTGACTCTTCAGCGCTTTGGGACCTCCTCCCGACGTGAAAGGCGCTCTATAAATGTAATGTTGCATTGAATATCTTTTGGGATTGTGCCTCTTGTGTATTTTGCAGACACTTATTGACGTTCATTCCAGTTCCTGGTTCATTTTTTGCCAGGAAACTCGTCCAAAGAAAGTTGTCTGTTCAAAATAAGCATACAATATTTTCCCAGCCAACTGCTACTTAAGTTCATATACATTTTGGTACTTGCTTTGAAATAATGATATCTTATTGTACTGCTTTGATTTTAATAGGCATTCAAAGATACTGGTAAGGCACCTGTGGAACAGGAGGTTGCAATCCATCGCATCAGAATTACCTTAACAAGCCGCAATGTAAAATCGCTTGAGAAAGGTGAGCATAATTTAATCAATTTGACACTACTTCTGGTCATGTACTACATTGCCCGAGTTTGTCTTCCTTGTAACAATATGTTGTAGAAAATGTGCTTGATATTGGTTGAATCTTAGTCTCCATTCTTTGTATAAGTATAAGTTTTTTTAAAAATTTAAAAACTTGCCTTTGGCATTTTTCATCAATCAGTTTTTCCAAATGCGTTTTTAAAGATTTAAACCCTAGTATTCTAATGGCTCTAATTTCACTAATGTATTAGGTAGTATAAATTTGACTAATGTATAAAGTGTAATTTTTTAGGTTTTAAAACCTGCCTTCTGTTCTTCAGATTAAAATTTTCAAATGAGCTGACTGGTCTGACTGATTTTCCTGTCTTCCCAATTTACTGGCAAAGAAGATAACTGTTGAATGAAACATAATGATTGTGTTATACGCTATTCTGAGCCAGTATTCATGCTGGAGGCTTAAATTGTGCATATTTTTATGTTTGGCTAACCTTTCCCTTTTACTTACAGTATGTGCTGACCTCATTCGCGGTGCAAAAGAGAAGAACTTAAAGGTTAAGGGACCTGTTCGCATGCCTACCAAGGTGAGCACTAATATTCATTGGTTGTTGCATAGCTTGATCCTCCTGTAGATTCTAAACCTTGAGATGGAGTTGGTACCTGTAGTTAGTGTTAAGCAACTAAGTGATCACCTTTGCAAACAATTTGTACATTCTGTTACTAAGAAAGGAGAATAATCCTGGATATTCAGTTTGCCTTGGCTGGTGGTCTTTAGTTGTCCTTAAAACTTGCCTAAAATATTGGTCTCTGAAATACACATGTAAGCATTTGAAGTCTTTAATGGTGAAACTTTTTGAGGTTTGGTGGGGGGAAGGTGGAAAGAGTTGGTGATCTGAAAGTTCAAAAATGTATTTCCAGCAAACCTTTGCTTCAGTTGGAAAGCTTAAATTGTCATTGGCAAGGAGTAATTCAATTAATAGTATAACAGTGCTCACCCTAAACTTTTGTCAGGAAATATTTGTTTGGGATTATAACTATATCTTATCTAAGCAAATGTTGTAATATGCTAATCTGCTGTAAACTTGATTTTCAGACTCTCCGCATCACAACCAGGAAGACTCCTTGTGGTGAGGGTTCCAAAACTTGGGATCGTTTCCAAATGAGAATCCACAAGCGTCTGATTGATTTACACAGTCCATCTGAAATTGTGAAGCAGATCACTTCGATCAGTATTGAACCTGGTGTTGAAGTAGAAGTTACCATCGCTGATGCTTGAATGTCCAGAAATCCAATAAAAATCTGAAAATAATACAACTAGTGTGTCAATTTCCTTATGTACCAAAATTGGTTGACCAGAGCTTAAATTCTCAAATTACGTTTGCTATTAATCAAAGATGGATTCATGGGTTGGGGGATTGGTTTCTCTTCCTGTACACCAAAGATTGATTATTGAAAACAAACACTCAGTGCTGGACAGTATGCTACTGTCTTCTTGCATTCATGATTGCTTGAGCCATACCACTCGAGCTCAACCTCATGGAAAAGTCATCAAAATTGAATGCTTATTTTTTGACTACAGCCTTTAAATTAGCCTGGCTTAACTTAACTGTATTGCTACCTATTATAGCATTGGCTATCAATAAATCCATTTTTATTGTCAGTTCTTTGAACACTGCTAATGTTTGTGCTATTACCCTTTTGAAAAAAACATTTTATGGTTTAAATCAGATTTGCACACTAAACCAAAATACACACTTGACATTCCTGGATTAAATGGGAATTTTCCTGACTTTCAACATGATAAATCAACTAGCTGACATAACTTAACAAAAGTCAAAGTTATAAAGAATAACTAATAATACTTGCATTTGATATAGAGCTTTTCACATGTTCTAGATGTCTCAAAAGAGCTTCACGAATATACTGTGAAGTGAATAGCTATTTTGTAGGTGAAAGGCAGCAACCAATTGTACACAGCAGTGTCGCACAAACAGATTGAATGACTAAATTTTTTTTTTTTTTCTTGAGGGATTATTATCAGGTGTGTGGAGTAAGGAAACTCCTAAGGTGTGGAGTAAGAAAAGTGCTTGCCCAAACTGCTTTTTAAAGGTTAAGAGGTGTCTGTCTCCTTAATGAGGTTCTTCCTGTCCCCTTTGAAAATAGTTGCAGTAAAGTGCAGTATTTTAAGAACTCACTATTGAAAGAGTGGTTAGTAAAAGCAAGGCTGCAGTTATAGCCACCTAGCACTTCAGATTCCAAGTTAATTCATGAATCTAATGATAAAAGATAAATATTATTAAATGTTCTGCATGTCCCTCTGGTTTCAATTAACTACTTTTGCGAACTCAACATGATCTTTATTCTGAAGGAGATGCTGGAAGTGCTGATTGTAAGAATTTGATATCTCAAGTTGTGTGACAAAACAACTGCATTATTTAGCTTGCGAAGAATCAGTGCTAACCAGATACACATTTATCAAGTCCAGTTTGTCCAATATATTGTAAACCAAGGAGCACGAGTAAAATAAAAGCAAGTTGCTGGGAACACTCAGCAGGTCAAGCAGCATCTACGGAGAGAGGAAAGTGGGTTAACGTTTTAAGTCGATGAACTTTCGTCAGAACCCGACGTAAACCTTGATTTTGGCATTCATGCTTATGAACAAATCTGAATGCATAGCATCTAATTATTGAAGCCAGGAACTGTTCCCACCTATGTATTGTCACAATTTCCTTTTCCATCCTCTACCAAATTTCTCATTATTTTACCTCTGGAACCACTTTTCTAATTTTGAATAGATCTATTAGACCTCTTGTTGACTCCAAGCTCCAGTGAACACCCCGAATGTTTCAAACCTACCATAAATAGAATCGCTCATCCCTGGAATCATCCTAGTAAATAAATCTACATTGCACTTCTCCATGGCTTTGACCCCTATCCATATAAAGAGTGACACTTATCGAGCAATGGAATTTTTGTGGAATCCTGTAGTTCAGTGGTTAGAGCACTCACCCCGCAAGCAAGAGATCTGGATTTGATTCCTGAAAGGGCGAAACGTTGGGCAAGTTTCCTTATTTTCTCCGCACCTCAGGCGCCGACACCATCAGCATCCAAGGCTGCACTCTCCACCTCTCAAAGCCAGTCAGGAACCTCGGCGTTTTGTTCGACCCTGAGCTGTCCTTTCTCCCTCACATCCGCACCACAACTGGCACCGCCTTCCATCACCTCCGGAACATCGCCAGACTACGGCACTACCTCACCCCTCACGCTGCTGAAACCTGGTCCACGCCTTTGTCACCTCAAGGCTGGACTATGGGAACTCTCTCCTCGCCGGCCTTCCCAGCACCTCCCTCCACAAGCTGCAGGTCATTCAGAACTCTGCAGCTCGTGTACTGTCCCGCACCAGGCCTCGCGACCACATCACTCCCACCCTCGCTCGCCTCCACTGGCTCCCCATCCCCCAGAGGATTGATTTCAAGATCCTCATCCTCACCTATAAGGCCATCCACGGCCTTGCTCCCTCCTACCTCTCTGACCTACTATCCCCCTACCTACCTGCCCGTACCCTCCGTTCCTCCGGCTCCAGTCTGCTCCACGTCACCCGCCCCAATCGCCCTACCATCGGTGGTCGGGCCTTCAGCCTCTCAGCCCCGAGGCTCTGGAACTCCATCCCCCAGTGCCTTCGCCTTGCTTCCTCCCTCTCCTCCTTCAAGGCCGGTCTCAAAACCTTTCTCTTTGACCGAGCCTTCAGCTCCCCTCTCGACTCTCTTCCTCCTCTTCGCTCCCTCCCTTCCCTCCTCTCACCCTGACCATTTCCCCCCTCCTCGCTCCCTCCCTTCCCTCCTCTCACCCTGACCATTTCCCCCACTGCTCGGGTCCTGACCCAACTGTGCAGCGCCTTGGGACGTCCTCCTGACGTGAAAGGCGCTTTATAAATGGAATCTTGTTGTTGTTGTTGTTATTCCACATGTCTCTGTTTACCTAGCAGTAAGTAGGAACCGGTTGTTAGTCAATTGGCGGATCGCTTTTCCAGGGGTAATAATTCCTTCCAAAAAAAATAATAAATTGGTCACTCAATCCATGACTGTGGGACACTGCTGTGCACAATTGGCTTCCACGTTTCACCCATAAAATACAGTCAATTTACTTTACAGTATATTCTGTGAAGTGCTTTGAGACCTCTTGAAGACGTGATAAAGCGCTATATCAAATGCAAGGATTATATATTCTAGGTGTTTCAAGCTTAACTGTTGTTCATTTATAAATCACAGAATCCTTAGTATCAGCACGTTTCAGTATGGGTGGAGGGTACGCAGATCATCATTCATGTGCCATGTTAGCTTTCTATTGAAGCAATCTTCTCTAATTCTATTTCTCTGCTATTTTTCTATACACTTATTGTTCTTCAAATGTGTTATCTAATTCCCGTTTAAAAGGCATAATTGACACATCTTCAATGGTCACTTGAAATTTGTCTGGAACTTAATTATCTCAATTAAAAATTAGATCTTGGCATCTCATTTAATGCTAATAATAATTTCAGTTTTTCATTTTAAACAGCCAGTGAAAATATCTCACTATTTTGCCTCTGGAAACACTTTTCTAATTTTGAATAGTTCTATTAGATCTCTTGTTGACCTCTTGCTCCAGTGACCCCTAATGTTTTAAACCTTCTATCATAAATAGAATCACTCATCCCAGTAAATAAATCTACATTGCACTTCTCCATGGCTTTGACTGCTATCCAAATAGTTAATGGAAACTGGAGTGTCAATCAAGATGGTGTGAGCTTAAAGTCCTGAATGAGGTTTGAGTTCTGGCTCAGAGTGCTACCAATTGAGACAATCAGATACTTAACATGTACCGTGTATGCAATGCCATTGTGCTTGATTTGGGCAAAGATCAGTTTTGTGCAGTGTAGGTAAGCACTATTATTTTTGAACCGGTAATGAAAAAAAATGTTTAAGAGCACTGTTGTGTGGTAAATTTGTGTTAATAGCAGAGAGCTATTGCCAATAACAAAACTAGCAAGAGACAATGAATATTTTTTGCAGGTGAACATGTATCTCTATTACCTATTTATTTTGGATTAATTTACAACACTTGGGTTCTAAGTCATTTTGAAACCCTATATTTTCAATGGATCCTTTCAGAACCAATTAATGCACAACAGGTGCCACTGGTTACCTATTTAAAGGAAATACCAGTCACCAATTTGCAAAGTAATAGTCAAACTGGGTTGGAGCAAAATACTAGCCAGTTTAGCTCACAAAGGTTTCTAACTGCAAAGCAAAGGGTAGGGTAAATACATTTGTTTGATTGTTTTGTACAATGATGAAATGAAGAGTAAGAATGTCAGATTTATAGGATTATTTTGTATTACATGTCAAAATTTGGCATGTTTATTGTTTTTTAATAAATGTGCTGTTGAGATTTCCTTAGGTAATGTTATGCAATTCTGACTAATTTTTCCAATACAACAATTGCTTATTGTCATTTTTAAGCAAGCCTTCCAAATTTTTGATATTAAAGCTTAAAACTGCCTTTGTCTATGTCTGATATTTGTGATTTGCTAAGAATTTATTTCAATAGCCATTGGGTGTCGTGTAGGAACCTCATATTAAAAACAAGATTAGATTTTCCAAATTGGAGGAAGAGTTCTGTAAGAGTTAAATTACTTATTTTAAATGATTCAACTGAATTATAGATGATCATAAAGGTTTTAGATCCTTATAATCTTGTAACTATATGGCTGACTCTTTAAGGTTATATTTTGTCTGAATCAAATAATTTGTTTCACTAAGCTATTACCTGAATATTGTGTTGACATCCCAGATCATTTGAGTTTATATAAATTGCCTATGACCCAGTCGTAATGTTTTTCATATAAAACATGGTGGGATAAAACAGTCTGAATTGTGTTGTTTGACTTGTATTGAAGGAAAAGCTCAGAGAACATCGGATATGGATATCAAGTATTCTGCATGTGAACATTCAATTCTTTCGGATTCAATTTTTTATGAACCACAAATGCAACCGCAGTCATTGTCTGAGTTAGTGGATGAATTTTGTACCCCGAAATCTAAGGTTCGTTTTTGCTACAATTCAGTTGGAACTGCCCTTGTTAAATCTAATCCCACGGTGACTGATCAAGTGCTGTATTCCAATTGTGCTTCCTCTGATCAGGCTGACAACCAGAAAAAACAGTGTTTAATTGAGCCTGAGGACCAATGCATGAAGGTATATCTGAGAGTGAGGCCCTTTTCACAAGTAGAAATGGAAAATAATGAATCTCAGGTCAGTGAATCATCCCATTGTAATGATAAAAAAACATTTAAGTCATACAACTTTTGAATTTGGTTACCTTGAGTTTGAGTTTAATAATCCCTTTATTTAAAAAAATACATGACTTTGTGGGAGACTGCTGTGCGCAATTGGCTACTGCGTTTCACGCACAATATATGTAGTCAAATAGCCCCTTATCTCGTCGTTGAGACATCTGAAAGCGTTTCACAGGATATACTGTAAAGTGAATTGACTATATTTTGTGGGAGAAACGTGGCAGCCAGTTGTGCACAGCAGTGTCCCACAAACAGTGGATTGAGTGACCAATTTATTTGGGGGAGAGGGATTATTACTGCTAAAAAACGATCCGCCAATCGACTAATAACCAGGTTCCTACTCACTGCTAGGTAAGCAAAGGTATAATAATAATCCTTGCATTTGATATAGCGCTTTTCATGTCTTCTAGATGTCTCAAGGCACTTCACAGAATACGCTGTAAAGTGAATTGACCGTATATTTGTGGGCGAAACTCGGCAGCCAATTGTGCACAGCAGTGTCCCACAAACAGTCATGGATTGAAAATGACCAATTTATTATTGTTTTTTGTTTTGGAGAGATTATTATTGTGGAGTAAGGAAACTTACCCAAGGTTTCGCCCTATAATAATAATAATCCTTGCATTTGATATAGCGCTTTTCACGTCGGGAGGACGTCCCAAAGCACTTCATAGAACACACTGTAAAGTGAATTGATTGTATATTTGTGGGCGAATGCGGCAGCCAATTGCGCACAGCAATGTCCCACAAACAGTCGTAGATTGAAAATGACCAATTTATTATTGTTTTGTTTTGGAGGGATTATTATTAGGCGTGTGGAGTAAGGAAACTTGCCCAAGGTTTCGCCCTGCCTGGAATTGAACTCAGGTCTCTCGCTTGCAAAGTGAGTGCTCTAACCACTGAGCTACAGGACTCCAAATAAATTAGTTATTGCTGCACACTTTGTAACAACAACAGCAAAATTACATTTATAGAGCGCCTTTCATGTCGGGAGGACCTCCCAAAGCACTGAACATTCAGGAGGGAGTGGGCAGGTTGGTAGGGATTCAGCAGGTCAAAGAGGTAAGAGGGGCAAGGCCACGGATGGTTTTAAAGGTGGGGTGGTGTAGGGGTGAGGGAAAGCAGAGAGGTGGGAGGGCGACCAAAGGCACGATCAAAGAGAAGGGTCTTAAGACTGGCCTTGAAGGAGGCAAGGGAGGAAACGAGGTGAAGGAACCGTGGGATGGAGTTCCAGAGTGTGGGGGCAGAGAAGCTGAAAGTCTGGCCACCGATGGCAGGGCAGGTCGGGCGGGAGACATGGAGCAGACCGGAGCCTGATGAATGGAGGGAGTGGGCAGGTTGGTAGGGGGTCAGCAGGTCAAAGAGGTAGGAGGGGTAAGGCCACGGATGGTTTTAAAGGTGAGGTTCTTGAACTCGATCCTCTGAGGGATGGGGGGCCAGTGGAGTCGGGTGAGAGTGGGAGTGATCGGGTCACGGAGCCTGGTGCATGAGAGTACACGAGTTGCAAAGTTTTGGATGATCTTCAGCTTGTGAAGGGAAGAGTTGGGAAGGCCGATGAGGAGGGAGTTCCCGTAATCAAGCCTTCGGGTGATGAATGCATGAGCGAGGATTTCGGCAGCCTGAGGGGTGAGGCGGTGGCGGAGTTTGGCAATGTTGCGGAGGTGGTGGTAGGCAGTGCCGGTCATGGCATAGATGTGGGGGAGAAAGGACAGTTCAGGGTCAAACAAAACACCCAGGTTCCTGACTGGCTTAGTGAGGTTGAGTGTGCAGTCATGGATGCTGGTGCTGCCAGCGCCTGAGGTGTGGAAGCACTGGTGTGAGCCAATTAGGAGGGCCTCAGTCTTGCTGACGTTGAGTTGGAGAAAGTTGTCCCTCGTCCAGGATTTGATGTCGGACAGGCAGTCAGTCAGGACCCCAGTAGTCCTGGAGTCCAGGGTAGAGTTGGATGTCATCCGCATACATGTGGAAATTTACCCCATGTCTGTGGATGACGTCACCAAGGGGGAGCATGTAGAGGGTGAAGAGGAGGGGACCGAGGACAGAGCCCTGAGGAACACTGTGGGGCCTGGAGAAGAAACCGTTTTCCGCGATGAAGTAGAGGTGGTGTGAAAGGTAGGACCTGAACCAGTCAAGGACAGAACCATGAAGGTTGAGGTGGGAGGAGAGGCGGTGGAGGAGGACTGAGTGGTCCACGGTGTCAAGGGCGGCGGAGAGGTTGAGGAGGATGAGGAGGCAGAGGGAGCCCTGGTCACACATGGTCAGGATGTCATTTGTGACCTTGACCAGAGCAGTTTCAGTGCTGTGGACAGCACAGAAACCCGATTGGAGGGGTTCACGGAGGGAGTGAGAGGAGAGGAAAGAGCAAAGCTGAGAGTCAACGGTTCTCTCAAGGACCTTGGATAGGGAGGGGAGATTTGAGATGGGCCGGTAGCTAGATAGCTGTGATGGGTCGAGGGAAGGTTTCTTCAAGGTGTCGATAACCAGTTGTTTGGCAGTACCTCACTAAAAAGTAAAATTCTGTTGAGATGAGTAACTTTCAGAAGTGTAACTGCAATGAAATTCAAACAGTAAACGTTATATAGCATAGCTGTGCCTTTTAAAATGCAATGAACTTAATTTTGCCCACACTGAATGTTCTAAATGTGTTTCTTAGGATTGTGTGATTTTAGAAAGTTCCGAGACTGTTGTGTTGAGAGCTCCCAAGCTTTCATCCACCATGAAAAATAGTGAAAGGGGTATTGGCCAATCTGTACACAAGTTTACATTCACTCAGGTGAGTGATTGATTATTTGATTCATTTGTATGTATTAATCAATAAATTGCTGGAAAGTAACTACATGATCAGCTTATAACCTGCCTAAGTGTATTCAACTCATCTGAAGGTCTTTAACAATATTTCTATAATTTAGACAGTACATAAATATTTCTTCTGTGCCTCTTTTCAGATCTTTGGGCATCAAACCACCCAGAAGCAATTCTTTGATGGTACAATAAAAAATTTGGTTAAACAATTCCTTAAAGGTCAGAACAGTTTAGTGTTTACTTATGGAGTTACCAACGCTGGGAAAACCTACACAATCCAAGGTATGGAGTTTTTTTTTTGGGGGGGGCGGGACATTTGTATAGTGCCTTTTGCGTTGGGAGGACGTCCCAAGGCGCTGGACAATCAATGTTTCGGACCCGAGCTAGGTGTCGAGCTAGGTGTCGGGTTCGGGGAGGGTGGAGGGCAGGTGGAGAAGGAGGGTGATTGAAGGCATGGTGGAAGAGAAGGGTCTTGAGACAGGTCTTGAAGGAGGCAAGGGAGGAGGCGAGGTAGAGGGACTGCGGGATGGAGCTTCAGAGAGTGAAGGCAGAGTGTCTGAAGGCCCGCCTGCCAATGGTGGGACCGCCGAGGCAGTGGACGTGAAGCAGCCAAAGTCCGCTGAACGGAGGGAGCAGGCAGGTTGGTAAGGAGTTTAGGAGTTCGCAGAGGTAGGGGGGAGCAAGGCCATGGAGGGCTTTGAAGGTGATGACCGGGATCTTGAACTGGGCTTAAAAACAAAGAAACAAAAAAGGGCTAAGAATACAAAGTAAAGAACAAGAACCTATTCTTTCAAAACACAATGCATAATCTGTATTACTCCAAATTGTACGCAATTAATTCTGTACAATAAATCAGAGCTAAGAGGATTAAAATCTTTGAATTTCCCCCGATTTGTACAAAATAATTTATATTGCACCTTTCACGTCAGAAGGAAGTCTGATCTGTGTTTAAATGGATGGAGAAATAAGAGAACCCAATGTATGTAATTATAACCATTTCAAGGTCGCAAGTCTATGTTTTTCTAATCTAGCTCAAATTGAACTTTCAATTTCTATTTCCCAAATATCAATTTAGATTTTATTTTCCAAATCAAAACTACAAGTTGCTTTGCTCTTTAGAAATAATGGTAGTTTTCATTACTCAGACACTTTCTTTTGGTCATGGATAGGTACACCTAAAGATGGTGGTATTTTGCCAAGATCACTGGATATGCTCTTTAATCACGTAAAAGGAAGATGGTATAAAAGGATGGATTTAAAGCCATTTACATGCAATGAGGTTTTGAAACTGGACAGTAATCAAGTTTGGCAAGAAGAGCTTGTTAAAGCTAGTGTCCTTTCCATGCTGAAAGAGGTGAGTTGATTTCTTGGAGTGACAACTGATGTTGGACTGAGATGTTATATAAATGCAAGTTGTTTTGGTGGTGGTTGTGAATCTTGCTCTTTCTGGAACCTATTGTGGTCCTCTGGCTCAGTGGTTAGAGCACTCGCCTTGCAAGCGAAACACCTGGGTTCAATTCCCGGCAGGTCAGGGCGAAACCTTGGGCAAGTTTCCTTACTCCACACGCCTAATACTAATCCCTCCAAAAAACAAAACAATAATAAATTGGTCATTTTCAATCCACGACTATTTGTGAGACACTGCTGTGCGCAATTGGCTGCTGAGTTTCGCCCACAAATATACAGTCAATTCACTTTACAGCATATTCTGTGAAGTGCTTTGAGACGTCGAGAAGACGTGAAAAGCGCTACATCAAATGCAAGGATTATTATTATATTATTATTGGTTAGGTCCTGTATATTTGAATTGTCTTTTGAAATGTTTTACTAAGCTTTCTTTGTACTGCAACTGTATCACTTTCTATGGGATTCAAGAAATAACTTTGTTTCACACTTACAAAATTTTAATCTTTGGCATATTAAAGTGGGGTGCACCAATATGCCACCCGTGCATATCAATATAACTGAGGTTAATTGATCCTCCCAAATTGTTAGATTTATGAGCACAAGTTGCATATTTTGTACTTTATTCTACAGATGTAGCTTTTCCTCTTTTAGGAGGTGGAATATCGCACCTTGAGGACCACATGTCAGAGCAGCCTAAAAGGACTCTTCTCAACAAGTACAACCCCTGAAGCGTACTCTCTATCCCCTGACAAATTGGGTATTTTTTTTTAAAATGGCTCTTACTCTGCTCTCTGGTTTTGATGAATATTATATTGAAGCTTGCTTTTGAAGTGTAGCAAAATGTCAACTGTGTTAGTTGTGTGTTCCATGCCATTCAGCTTGAGTTTGTGTGGCAGAAAGGAACCTTAGCTTGAAGGCTGACGTTAAAATGTTTGCATAATAACACTTGTGTTTAATATAGCACCAAATGTCATCAAGACATCTTGACTGTGGATTGACTGTATTTTGTGAGCACAAAATATCCCATGGCACTATTTTCTCAGTGTTCTGGCCAACAACTCACACACAAATATACAGTCAATTCACTTTACAGTATATTCTTTGAGACATCTAGAAGACGTGAAAAGCGCTATATCAAATGCAAGGATTATTATAACAATTCTCCAGATAAAATTGATCAGTCACTTCACAACTGTTTGTGTGACATTGCTGTGTGGAAATTGGCTCACACACTCGCCTATAAAATACAGAGACTACATGTTACAGTAAATCCAGTGAAGTGCTTTGAAATGTCCGCCCAAAATGAAAGGTGCTAAATGCAAGGATAGCTATTTAAAGTGTCTTAAATTTGTTTCCTTTTCAATGGCAGAAAGAGAGTCTGAAATAGAGAATGGTTTTAATAGCGACACTGACCTCTGTGATCAAGGACCAGTCAAATATTCAGTTTGGGTTTCATTCTGTGAAATTTACAATGAATATGTCTATGACCTATTGGAGGCAATACCAGCTTTAAAAACCCAGAAACGGCGAAACTTGCGAGTCTGTGAAGATCAAAATGGAAACTGTTATGTTAAAGGTATACCCGATTTTATATATTTTTTAAGTTGTTTAGCTTTCCAAGTCTGAATATGAAATATTAGAATTGTTGGATTAGAAAGTTGATCATTTATATGTATGACATGTTTCTGTCTTTGGCTGCCTCACGTTTTTGCAAATATTTTCAGAACTAAAGTGGATCCACGTCACTAGTGCTGATGAGGCTAACAAGATCCTAAAAGTTGGAAACAAAAATCGAAGCTTGGCTTGCACCAAATTGAACCAGCAATCAAGCAGAAGGTTTACTATAAGCATTAGTTTATTAGTGCTCCGGGACGCTACTCCGTGTGAAGAGTGCTATATAAATGCCAGTTGGTGAAATGTAGGCTGTTAATGGCAAGCTAACCATGTCTAAACATAGCTTGTAAGTTGCCAATTTCACTCATTTTGGTAGCAGTCTCCTCTAAGTCAGAAGTTTGCTGATTTATACCCCATCTGTACTTTAGCTTATACGAATGACACACCACCATAGTATTGAGGGATTGCTCCATTATGGTAGTTTCTGTCTTTTGGATGAGATGCTGAACTGTTCAGGTGGCTGTCAGTCATGAAACTTTACACATACCAGGAGAAAGGAGTTTATCTCATTATCCAAGTCAGCAATCCTTTGGATTGCAGTCATTTCGATGTTCACATCATGGTTGTTTGTGGGACATTAGTTGCCAAGACATTACAATTGAGAGCAATCAACCATGAAGCAGTTTGAGCCATTTGACGTGAGGATACATGAAAAATGCAAAAAAAATTCTTAGCCATTCACCACTACACAGTCTAGGTCGTGAAGAATTAGAAATCGTTTAATGTAATTGCTTATGTTCTATAAATTGATTCATGTAAAGTTGTGAATACTTAGTTTAGTCGAAATTGGCTTGTGTTCTTGCAGCCACACAATATTCTCTGTTCGACTGATGCAAATGAATGATGAAGATAATGCCCAGGTTCTCAGGATTTCAGAGTAAGTAGAGTTGCATATTAAATATCAAATGTTTTGTATTTTCACAGCTAAAATGCACAGCTAAAATGCACACCTTAAGTTTAATGAAATCTGCAACCTTTGCTCTGATGCTGAGACCTACCTAGAGCTGCTATTTGCTATGTCCAAGGGCATTATATCAGCTAAAAATATTGAATAATTTAATTTTGCATTTGATAAGGTGATTAAATCATTGCAACATCTTGAAGTGCTTGAAAGGTGCTATATCAAAGTAATTCTTTTTTGCAAATTTGGGTACCTTGGCTAAGATTAAATAGTGAAGGAATTTTTAAAATTTGAAGGTTAATCAGGTGTTAATTAGATTGTAGTGGATGAGAAGGCATGGTGCTTCCTTATCTTAGCCTGGTGATTGGAATCCAAAATGTTGCAGAGAGGTCACTTGCTTGAGGAGAATAGTGTTCGGCAAAATAAAAGGAAGAATTTCTGTAAGCTAGGAAATTGTGGTGGCCAGTGCTACAATGGTAGGTTCTGATTATGCAATATATTAAAATTGTTGAATTATGATAAATGCAGGTTATCGTTGTGTGACTTGGCTGGGTCAGAACGTTGCGGTAAGACGCAAACATTTGGAAACCGACTGAAGGAAGCAGGAAACATCAATAATTCTCTCCTTATCCTTGGCAAGTGTATTGCTGGACTCAGGGAGAGACAGCACAATAAGTAAGTAATGCATTCAAGTTCTTTTTTTTTAACGGAATTTACTTGAATTGCTCATCTTTGGAAATTCACATACACCCAATTGGAATGAAGCACTTTCTACTTTACAAAAAATCTATAGGATAACATTTGTGTTTTTTGTTAAATTATTTCTTTCCTGAGTTAAAACAGCAGGGGGTGCCCTTCTTCAGGTAAATGATTTTTCTCCTCTCCCGGTCCTAGCAGTGCAGTTTTGTGATCCTGAGAGTTACTTTATTTTCTACAATTTTAGGCCTCATGATCAGATTTTTGTTCAATCCTGACTGCCTACGAGGGCTTAAAAAATTAACTGGGAGTGGTCCAGAGGCTTTGGGCCAACAAACCACTTACCTAGAGAGGAGTCCCACCTGTCGGTCTTTAAAGAAGTTGACTTTTTTTTAAGGAAAGCTGCATTTTTTTTTCCCCTGTAGGTAAACCATTGGATTTATGTACTTGAGCAAAATACAGAGATGTGCAACGTTTCTATACAATATCTAAACACTAACTCTGCTTTGTATACAGCACAAAAAACTTGAGTGGCTCACAATCAATTAATTGTATACACAAATTGGATTTTCAAACAGCCTTTGTCAGGATGTTCTCATAATATAATTGTACATTATTTTCATATTTGCATACTATATTCTGTATGATGAGTGAATTTTGGTCTGCTGTGAATAGGATTTAGAATAAGTTTATTTGCTACAATATCATTTTTTGAACCAGGATTATGCAGACTTATTAAGAATTACTATTTTTAAGATGTAACTCTGAAGTCATGTAGTGAGCTTAAAGGCCAGCCAGTATGTTTCAATGTTTTGTAAATATTGTTCTCATTTAATAAAAAAACCCTCTCTGGACAGATGTTATAACTGGCACAGAGTAAAGGTTATGCAGGTAGCATCTGAAAAGCCTTCTACTTATATTTGTACTTAATTGGTAATCTCCAGCTTTTTTTTATGCATCTCTCTGACTACCAGAATGAAAGCCATTATTGTCCCCTTCCGAGAGAGCAAACTGACTCGCCTTTTTCAAGGTTTCTTTTGTGACAAAGGCAAAGCTTGTATGATTATTAACATAAACCAATGTGCATCTACATATGATGAAACTCTACATGTAATGAAATTTTCAGGAATTGCTAAACAGGTAAGTGCTATTCATTTCTTTGATATTTGATAATATTGTCAAGTGTATGGTCACACTCTCATCCAAATTGGAGTTGGGTTGATCATTAAGGGATAGGTTTGTTGGGCTTACTGCCTAACAATTGTAATAGGAACTGTAAATCATAGTTAAGGAGCAAGGGCAAACTACCCAAATGAAGCCAATAGTCAGTCATAATGTGTACAGTTGAATTTACAGTATTATGAAACCTATTCAAAATCACTTGCTTTTTTGCTCTCTAAACCATGTTGGTGATTTACTAAAGTAATGCATTTGTGAAAACTACTCTAGAATACTGTGGTAAAGTATGCAGTGTTTCAAAATGTGTTTCCTTGTGTCAATTAAGCAATTGCCTTCTCGTAGTATTTGGGTGGACAATGCTAAAAATATCCAGATGCTTATTTGTGAAGGGATTTACTTGTCACTACTATAGAGGATATAGGCTGGTCACAATTTTAAATAAACCTGAGTATTCTTCTATTTAGATAGTTCAGATAATTCAACCAAAACTGGAACTAATTAATCCAACGACTAGAAAAGAGGACAGTATGATGGTATGTATGGATCTCAGCAACACTCTCGCCACAGAAAATAGCATCTCTGGAGATCTGTTACATGAGGCAGACGAAGAGGAATTGGATGTCACTGCTTTAGGCTATGAAGTAAGCTTTGCACCCAAAATGATAGAGGGGATGGAGGGACTGGACTATGAAGAGCTATTGGATAAACTGGGAATGTTCACGCTGGAAAAGAGAAGATTGAGGGGTGATATGATTACAATCTTTAAGATTCTGAAGGGACTAGATAATGTAGACCATGATAAACTGTTTTATCTTCTCCTGAACAGTAGAACCAGAGGACACGGCCTGCAATTAAAGAGGGGTAAATTCAGAACAAATCTGCAGGAAACACATCTTCAGTGAACAAATAGTAAACTTATGGAACAAGCTCCCTAGAGAGACAGTGGAAGTAGAAAGTGTTCTTTGTTTCAAGAACAAATTAGATAGATTTCTGGTAGAGAATAATATCTTGGGATAGATTATGTAGTTTGGGACACAACATATCAAGCAACTGCCAGGTTCATGAAAGGCGAACTAGATGGAACTTGGTCTTCTTTCGCCTAGCAAATTCTTATGATATTATGAAATAATTCAATTGGATGAACATCTGCCTTGTTTAAGATGTGTGTAAGGTAATGGTACCAATTGTGGATTGGATTTAATTACCTAGAAAATAAACAAATAATATGGCAAAGAACTAAATTCACAGGGCTAATATTGAACTGCTTTTTGATTATTTTGAAGGAGGGGAAGGCAGTTGTATTAAATTCTAAAGGTGAAAAATAATTCAATCGATTTTGCCATATGGCAATGTTTATTAAACTGGAACCTTGCATATCTTACAGTGACCATGAACTGAGATGTGTTGGAAAATAAAATGGAGTTTGTTTTATAAAGTCCTTTGTCTTGGTAGAAGTATGTGAGATAGATGGGCATATCTTTGTAATTGGAATACATTCTGAATATTTGGTACATGGAAGTTAGTCTTTAGCAAGGAGGAAACTTTACAATTGCCAAGAGTTTAGAGAAAATTCCCAACGAAAAAGTTAATGAGGGATCCTAAAATGAACAGAGCAGAAACTGGAAATGCAAGTTCTATTGTGTGTTCCTAGGAAGCTGAGCATGTTAAAGATGAGGCTGCTGAAGATTGAGAGTATTTTGAGTTAAAATCTTTTGCTGAACTGAAAATGAATAGATGGTGCATTTGTGCTAATAGATTAAACGGATAAACTTGGAAATATTTCAAGGTTTATACATAAACCATACATGGAATTAATCCAACCATTAAACATAATATTGGAAGTAATGAGGGCAGTATTTTTTTTAAATTTAACAGAAAGCTGTGAAGAGGTTTACAAGTTAGATGCATGACAGAAGTATTGGGGATTAACGTGCATCTATAGTAACATTGTGTACTTTCAGTCCTAAAAGTTGCTAAAATTAGATGCCTTTACACTACTTGGCTGCTTGGTGCATAGTTCTGTTCTGGTGGTTAGGAAATGCTGGACACGATTGAAAATCTAAAACAAAAACTGATCGCTGAAAGGCAACACAAACTGCTTTTGGAAATTCGGGTCCGTGAGGAGATGGGGCAAGCTATGTTTCAGCAGCTGATGCACACGGAAGAAGTTTGGAGGTAAGGTTTAATGTTGGTGTCTAGTACCGAAAATGTTTTTTTTAATAAAGTTAAGTGTGTGACCTTGTACAGCAAGCAATATAGCAAGCCGTTGAATTTAATGTGCAATTAAAATTGCTTTAATATTAACTTAAAATGTATATTGTGTTCACTGAGTTTTTCAGTTCAACACGAATACCATTTTTGTGTAAATTGTTTATATTTATCCAGTTCTAACTTGCGCTTGACTGGCATTAATTTTTCTGTTTAAGCCCCCAATTTTGTTCCTGTGTTGTGGGACAAGCTGGGAATATGAAATAACTGCAACTCCAGGGAGCATTAACTATGGAGCGGCCAGTGCTGTAACTGTAGTAATCTTTCCCTTTGAAGATGTTCTGCAGCCTCCAGCTATAAATGGGCAAATGTTGTCAACCATTAATTGTAAGATGGTTGTGATGATCATCAACTTGACGCGGATGTTCAGTGTTTTTCAGATTTCTTTTTCTGTATGCAATCACATGTTATCTTTTGCTGAAGCGAACGCTTTGAAGAATTAAAGGAGAACTATGATGATCAATTGGAGAGTAAACTTCACATGTACAAAGAATCAATCAAGCGACATGCATATAAATGTGCTTTAGAAGAGATTAAAGATAAACATGGTGCAGAGGAAACATTTACTATTCAAGGCAAAGTTAAGGTAATATGAATGTTGTTGCCCGACTACATGTATGTGTCTAATCGGCTCAGGTAGTGTATAGGACTCGCTAAGTGCAATTTGGCTGCTGCATTTGACAACAAGGTACTGACTGGACCTGACAACAATTCCTGTTTAGTGTTTTGAGACTTTGACATATGAAATGCAAGAATCATCGTTCACATTCATAACAGCCATGTATTGGAGTCCTATAGCTTAGTGATTAGAGCACTCGGCTCGCAACTGAGAGGCCCTGGGTTCAATTCCTAGGAGGCGCAAAATGTTGGACAAATTTCCTTACTCCACACTCCCCTGTTTACCTAGCAGTAAGTAAGAACCGGTTGTTTGTCGATCGGCAGAAAGTATTTCCGGGGGTAATAATCCCTTCAAAAAAATAATTTAAAAAAATAATAATTTGCACGTTCAGTCCATGAGTGTTTGTGGGACATTGCTGTGTGCAATTGACTGCTGCGTTTCGCCCACAAAATATACAGTCAATTTCATTTTGCAGTATATTCTGTGAAGTGCCTTGAGACATTTTGTGATAAGATGCTATATCAAATGCAAGGATTATTATTGTTATTGGTACAATTCTAAAGAACAGTAATAATTCATCTTTACTTACTGAAATTCAACTTATGTTGTGCATCACTTGTGGATATTGTTGTGAATATTATTTGTGAGGATGATTGCTTTTACCTCCACTGGTTATGTGGTCCTTTATTGAGTCTACTTCTTTTCAAGGAGCCAGATTCAAAACTACTGGAAGAGAGCCTGAATGATTGCCAAAGCCAACTTGCTTATGTGAATTCACAATCTCCAACTGGCCTGACCAAGGAATTGGAACAATTAAAGGAAGAAGTGCTGAAAACAAAATCTCAGATGACAAATCTTCAACTCGAAGTGGCTGTAAACTGCCAAGGTAGAGAGTTCCTATTTTGGGGGCTCTGACCGTACAATTGTGTTGATCAGTGTGGTTTGTGGAGTCTTGTAGCTCAGTGGTTAGAGCACTAGCCAAGCAAGCGAGAGACCTGGGTTTGATTCCCGGCAAGTTTCCTTACTCCACACACCTGATAATAATCCCTCAAGAAAAAATAAATGAATTGATCACTTAATCCATGACTGTTTGTGGGACACTGCTGTGCACAATTGACTGCCATGTTTCACCCACAAAATATACAGTCAATTCCCTTTACAGCATATTCTGTGAAGCACTTTGAGACTTCTAGAAGATGTGAAAAACGCTATATCAAATGCAAGGATTATTATTTGCAATTTAAACCCCAGTAGAGACTGGTTTTAAATATTCAATCAAAGACATTTCCCCTCACAATTTTTAGCATTCTACCTCTTTTTACTATTCTAAGATGTTTGGTTGGAAACTGCTTAAGATAAAGAGGCTTTAAAAAATCTGTATTTCTCCACAGAAGTAAACAAGTACAAGGAATTGTATGAGGCTAAAGCTGTGTCTGAGGAATGGTTTGAGAAATTATCTCATGAGAATGATCAGGTACTGGTGGCAACAATAATAAATTTACATTTATTATTTATTACATTTAAAATCCTGTAGCTCAGTGGTTAGAGCACTCGCTTTGCATGTGAGAGACCTGAGTTCGATTCCCAGCAGGGTGAAACGTTGGGCAATTTTTCTTACTCCACACGCCTAATAATAATCTCTCAAGAAAAAAAAACACAATAATAAATTGGTCATTTCAATCACGACTTTTTGTGGGACACTGCTATGCACAATTGGCTTCTGCATTTCGCCCACAAAAAAAATAGTCAATTCACTTTACAGTCTATTCTGTGAAGCGCTTTGAGACATCTAGAAGATGTGAAAATGCAAGGATTATTATTATTTGTACAGCACCTTTCACATTGGGAGCACTGAAGGACCCTACAAGAAACAGGATTCCACTCAGATTATTCTATGCAGTATTTCAGAGTGTCCAGAATTTGACAATTGTTCAAAATGCAGCTTGATTCCAGAAGGTGGTTTTTTGTGAGTTTTCTTTAAGAACTACAGAAAATTAACTTCCAAGTTGAGGCTGAATTCAACAATTTGCCAAATTTCTGGCCCTTTTAAGATGTTGCACGAAATAAAGTCTAGACCCAGGCAGAATTTCTTGATTAGTTCCTGCTGTTCTGCTAGTTTATCAGTTCTGACATATTAACACTCCCACTGATTCTGTTGCCAATACATTTCACATTTTTTTTGTCAACTTACAGTCCATTTGTCAAGTGATTTTCGTTATGTATCCGGTAACCTGGACATGCCTAAAATGCATGGTAAGACTTGACATGTAGACTCTGCCTTGAATGGGTTATTTCTGTAGGTAGTAACCCATGACTGCAAGGTTACTAGTTTTATGATCACAACAACTTGCACGTATATAAATACAACATGTATATAAATCTACTTTCAATAACTGATCTGATAGCTGATCGACTCCTTGAAGAGGGAGATTCAAGATATGCACTCGGCTCTGCAGGAGGCAGAAGAGAATTATCAGGAAGCTAATAAGAATGTGAAGGAACTGCAGTCCACATTGGCAAAGCAGGTACAATATATAGAATTAATTAGTGTTTCCCTTTTAGTGTGTTATATCTAGTTCAGCTGTGTGGGGTGAATTGGATAATTTTAATCCCATATTAAAAAATGAGCATTTTCATGTCAATTTCAGATTGGAAAAAACAGAATTAGCCTAACTTGCTATCAAAACACTTTTAGCATGTTTTTTTTTGCTGAAGGAAAAATTGTAAGGAATGCGATTCACGGCTTTAAATTCTGAGAACTGATGATTTAATTGATCAAGGCTGCAGGTGAACAAAATGTAATGCCGCCCCCACCCCCGGCCAACTAGAATGTGTTTACACTCCACCAGCAATGTTGATAAATGAAATTAACAATCAAAAGTTATTTTTCTTCAATAAATTGTTCTGATCTTCAAATGCCTTACCACCCTTGTGATTTCTTGGGGTCCTATTTTGTGCTCACTCCCTTTGATCTGATAACTTGGGCCAGCTCCACATCCTCTGCCCCACTATCACTCCCCCACCGTGACCACATCACTCCCACCCTCGCTCAAGATCCTCATCCTCACCTACAAGGCCATTCACGGCCTTGCTCCCTCCTACCTCTCTGACCTACTATCCCCCTACCTACCTGCCCGTACCCTCCGTTCCTCTGGTTCCGGAATGCTCCACATCCCCCGCTCCAACCGCCCTACCATCAGTGGCCGGGCCTTCAGCCTCTCAGCCCCTAGGCTCTGGAACTCTATCCCCCAGTGCCTTCGCCGCCTCCTCCCTTTCCTCCTTCAAGGCCGGTCTCAAGACCTTTCTCTTTGACCGTGCCTTCAGCTCCCCTCTCAACTCTCTCCCCCTCCTCGCTCCCTCCCTTCCCTCCCCTCACCCTGACCATTTCCCCCCAATGCTCGGGTCCTGACCCAACTGTCCAGCGCCTTGGGATGTCCTTCCGATGTGAAAGGCGCTCTATAAATGGAATCTTGTTGTTGTGTTGTATCAGTGGGTGAACTTTCAACCACTTTGCGTTCTGGAACTCTCCCTACAGTTCCTTGCGTCACACTCCCTCCGACTGTGCCTTCAGGAACGTCACTGCTAGTTTTCACTAGGGCAGTTTTTTTTATCCTTTTTTTTGCTGAATGTTGTTTTATAAAAAGGAATTAAAGTGAATAATCAGTGGTTGAATATAAACGCCGATGCAGATTGGTTGGGCCGAATAGCCCATATTGCTCTATGTGAAACTTCCCTTTCCGTCCTTTAGGATCAAATGCTTGCGGACATTGAAAAAGAACGTGCTGACCAGATTAATGAGTTGCAAGCTACTGTTGTGAAACTTCAGGAAGAGCTAGCTCTGCGTAAGAGCCTAGACATCACTGAAAAACCACCCAAAAAAAGGTTCTTCACCAACCTTGCTGGATCCAAATTGTCAGGTTGTTCGTCTGTAAAATACAGTTTGTTTAAATCCAAGAAGCCAAGTTAATGACTAAAAATTAAGAGAGATGGTGGTTCAGGAAAAGAAAACTGCCATTGCTACTAAGTAATAATGAATAATTAATTTTAATCTGTGGTCTAATTATGCATGTATATAAATGTTTAGTAATTTTAAATGTAAACTAATAAAGTTGAACGTCAATTTTAGATTTTCTTGTCGTGACTTTCTTAATTTAAAAGGTTGCATTGATGCTTCCATACTTTGGGAGAGGCTGAGGTCAGTTAAAACAACCAGACTGAGTGGTGCAAAACATTAAGATGAAGGTTAATTTTAGACAATGGGGAAGAGATTTTAGGGAATTTAAGTTTGTTGCAGGCAGGTGGAAGGTTAAATGCTGGAGATTGGTGAATATTTCCCGATATTCAAATGTTACACATGATCCTTGGGATTTTAAATGGTCTATAATATTAAGAAATTTTTTGAATCCATTGAATACTGCAGTCCAAAAATAGATCATTCAGCCCTCTGGTGTTGTTTCCATGTGAGCCACCAAGTCTAATCCTGCTCCTCACACTCGCTTGTTAATCTTTTTTTCATCCAAAGGTTAGCCTTAATGCTTTGCTTTTGTATTCTATTCCTCTACATGCAAAACAAAGCATTCAGTTTGCTGCTTTATGGCTTACTCTCTGTGCTGCTATTTTTAATGACTTGTGTATCTACACATCAGGCTCCATCTGCTTCTCTTACTCCATCTAAAATCTTATTTTTTGCAATTTTTCAATATTAAGTTGTATTTTGCTGTCCTATTAATGGCTGAAATGTAATTTCACAATTTTTGGCATTGAACTACATTTGCCACTTACCTTTTTATCTGTGGCCTCCTGCAGTCTCTCACAATCCACATTGCATTTGCCATGCCCCAATGTGGTGTCAACAGATTTTTAACATTGTTCCCTCACTAAATTATTTATACAGTGAATATGAGAAGACCCTACTCCCCACCCACCCTCCTACATAGACCACTATTGGAGTCCTGTAGTTCAGTGTTTAGAGCACTTGCCTTGCAAGCAAGAGACCTGGGTTCGATTCCCGGCAGGGTGAAATGTTGGGCAAGTTTCCTTCATCCACATGCCTCTGTTTACCTGGCAGTAAGTAGGAACCCAGTTGATAGTCAATTGGTGGATCGCTTTTCTGGGGGTAATAATTCCTTCAAAAAAAATTGCTCACTTCAATCCATGACTGATTGTGAGACACTGCTGTGCGCAATTGGCTGCTGCATTTTGCACACAAAATATACAGTCAATTCACTTTACAGTATATTCTGTGCAGCGCTTTGAGATGTCGTGACATGATAAGGTGCTATATCAAATGCTATTATTACTGAACACCACTCACTATATCAGCCCAGTTTGAGAAAGTGCCTTTTATCCCATCTCTTTCTTTCTGTTCTCCCTCCTCTATGTGGCCACATCCTCTTTAATTCCAGGATGCTGTAAACACAAGATGATGTCCATGTTTAAAGTGTACTGAGGCCTTAAGAAGTAGTATTAGAATAAAAACTCCTGAACCTTTTGAGTAGATGAAGTGCTGAAAATAGGCTCTGATCCAGATGTGAATTGTGCTTTTTATACCTGTTTTGAATTGTCCCAATAAAAGTATCCCAATATTTGCATTAAAGGTGTTCAGATTCGTAACATAAAACTGGGGATATAATCGCCAATTATTTTGTGAAGTTGCCTTCCATCAGAGGGCAGCAGTGCCCTTTTCCACATTTAGAAAGATTATAAAAACTTTTCAGAAATGTTATCTGCTTTCATTTCACTGGCAATGCACTAGGGCATAATAGAAATATGAATCCAAGTCCACATTTGTCAAGCGTAACTACAATGCTATTAAAATCTGAGGAAAGGAAGGGGTGGGGACTCAGAGGAAGGAGCTTAACATTTTGGCTTCTGGACCTTGTGGCTGGGATGGGAAATAAGAATTGAATTAGTGTAATTTGGCAATTAGAGACAGCACTGATGAAAGGCAAACAGGGGTCTATTGCAATTTGATATGATGGAAAAATCAGAAGGTTGAGAGTTGGGTGCTCTGAGATGAGATCCAAACAAATGTCCTGGCATGATTGAAGGAGTATTAGGGGGTGATGATCAAGAGAGAAGTCATCAGATAATTAAGAAGGTGGATTAGAGGAAAAGGAATAGTATTAGCAGTTATTGAGAGATCATGAAAATGGACAAAGATAGCAGGAATGAGAAAGGGATGTACATAGAGAGAATGTACCTGAAATTAACTGATTGGAAGCATGCTGTGGTTAGAAAGGCTTATTGAAACTAACAATAATAGGACATGTGCTGCTTATCTGTCAAAGAAATGCATTGTGCACAGGATTCCTGAATTTATTTCTGTGAGGCAAAATAGACTAAGGGAGAGTGAAAGAACAAGGGTATAATTAAAATGGATATTTCTGGAGTAGGATCATTGTTTAATGGACAAAGCAACTGTAATGTAAGTGGACTCCAGTGGCACCATCAGCATAGTGTGCATGATAAACCTTATAGGAAAGCCCCAAACCTCTAAAGAAAAGTTAATTTTGCAAAGTTGGAAGAATTTCGGTTCCATTTAATACCTTTTGGTGAATATAAACTCTTTTATCTGGGGTAGAAGATCAAGTTGGTGCCATTCGTACAATATGCATGCTGCAAATTTGTTTCAATAGAATGATGTTTTACAATCCACTAAGGTTTAAATAATGCATGAAGCATTCTGAAGGCATTATAATGCAAATGCAGCTTCAATTCTGAGAATTTGTTCTGTCATTCAAAATTTGTTTCCTGATATTGTGGCCCATTGAACTTACAGTTCAACTGAACATAACTCACTTATGATTTTCTTATGAAATATTTTCCACATTGAGATCATTAATAACAACTTCTTCCCCCCACGATATACAGCTTTATTGTGGAATGAGATATGGTCAGAAATAGTGTCCAGTCAGTCTCTATGTTATCTACAGATGTGGCATTAATGATGTAAAATGTATATATTAATTATAATCATACTCTTTGCATTTGATACAGTGCCTCATCACTTCATCAAGATGTGAAGTGACTGTATTTTGTAGCCAAATGAGGCAGCCAATTTCACACAGCATTGTCCCACAAAAAGCCATGAAGTGTATGATCAATTTTATCTGGTCAATTGTTGGCCAGGATATAGGGAGAAACTTCCTCTCTTCTCCAATAGTGTCGACTTATTTTCATTGCAGCAATTGTTTTTTTTCTCAGATTAAAAAGGAGGAGCTAAAACCAATGAGCAGCTTCCAGACTGATGGTTTGATGTACACCAGAGAACTAAATGCAAACATCAAAAGCAATATTGCAGAACAAGTATGATTTCAGACTGTGAAGAATTATTTTTGTTTGTGTGCTTTAGCAACAACAAAATTACATTTGTATAGCGCCTTTCACGTCAGGAGATTGTTTCAAGTCGCTGGACAGTAAAGGATTTGCACCCAAGCCAGTCCCTACTGAGTGGAGAGAGCAGACCTGTATTTGATCATACATGTGTATCTTTATACATTTTAATAATCACCCATTTCAATTTTGCTGTCAAACTCAATAATTGTTGTAATTTTCCAATAAATGTACCATTACTACTTTATTCTTATCCTTTTCTACCTCCATCTCTGACCATTACTCTTCACCTTTCTCTGCAAGTATTGTGCCAATTAAAATTCTTGCCAAACATTACTGGCTGTAACTCGCTGCTATTATTTGTCTCAACCACAGTCGGAGACAGCTTGTGATATAATTAGTGAGATCCTGGTACTAATAAGCAGATTGCTTTTGATGATCTTCTGTTTACTTTTAGATTTTCCAGTCTTGTGCATTCCTAAGTTACTCAGATGATGAGGAATTGTAAGTGATTCCGCCCCTTGAGATTTGTAATATTTGTGAGTCTATTATTCTTGAGACCTGTGCAATTTTCGTTGAGTTGGAAGATTTTGCTGTGGTGTCAACACCTTTGAATACTATAGAGTTGATAACAGCTCTGTTTTTTTCCCCTCAATTTTGTCCATTGGTTTTCTGTAATTACTGTAACAATGAGTTGCAGTACAATTTACATTTAAATAGTTCTTTTCACATTGGGAGATCAAAGCACTTCACACTGGTGGCTGGGGACCTGCTCTGTGTATGTAATAATAATAATAATCCTTGCATTTGATATAGCGCTTTTCACGTTTTCTAGATGTCCCAAAGCGCTTCACAGAATATACTGTAAAGAGAATTGACTGTATATTTGTGGGCGAAACGCGGCAGCCAATTGCGCACACCAGTATGTATGTGTGTGTGTGTGGGGGGGGGGGGGGATTGATGACCGGAAGCAGTCAAAGAGGTACATCTTGAGGTGGGCTTTGAAATTTGAGGACGCTTTGAACCTCCTTGGAGCGAACCTGTTTGTTTCAGTTTTCATGTATAAGCCACAATCAGCATTCTTGTTTCATGTATAAAAAATATCTGTAATCTGTGAGTGTACAACCAAGTATACAATATGGTGGTTTGTACTCTTGCTGATGTACTCTTCATTAAATACATACAGGAAGTTAAAAAATTCCAGCAGTTCCAGTTCGTCTCGAGTGGCCTGCCACAACTGATTCCCACAGCAAAACAATTAATCACGAATCTTCAGGATATCATTCTAACATCAGATAAGAATGCCAAATATAACATTCCTGTGGTCTCAACACCACTTGAGCGGATTTGTTCTTCCAGTGTTGCCCAGCTTTTTTGGTAGGCAACAAAATACAGTTTCTTGATTGACTGTTTCTCGATTCAATCGAAATTTTCAAGACTGAAGTTGATAGATTTTTGTTAGATAAGGGTATCAAGGGATATAGTGCAAAGGCTGGTAAATGGAGTTGAGGTATAGATCAGCCATAGTGTAATATAATGGCAGAACAGGCTTGAGGGACTGAATAGCCTATTCCTGTTCCTAGATTGTTGAGCTGACGACTGGAATACAACATACATAAATGCAAGGTTCTACATATATAGAGGAAATAAAAACAGGAGGCACACATACTACTTGGATGGGATAGAATTTGCCAAAGGGGGAACTGAAAGAGATCTAGAGGTGTCTGATGATGACTCAACGCTCACCATGCCAAAATAGTCTCAGGCAGCAATAAGCAAGAGAAGTGGAATACTATGTTGACATATCAGTTAAGTTCTGTCACGTTCCCTGAAGACAACAACAACAAAATTACATTTGTAGAGTGCCTTTCATGTCGGGAGGACGTCCCAAGGTGCTGGACAGTCAGAGTTTCGAACCCAAGCTGGGGGTTGTGATTGGGGAGGGTGAAGGGCACGGGGGGAAGCAGGGTGATCAAAAGCACGGTCGAAGAGGAGGATCTTGAGATGGGTCTTAAAGGAGGCAAGGGAGGGGGCGAGGCAAAAGGACTGCAGGATGGAGTTCCAGAGGGTGGGGGCAGAGTGGCAGAAGGCCGACCCACCAATGGTAGGGCGGGCGAGACAAGGGACGTGAAGTAGGCCAGAGCCCGCCGAGTGGAGGAAGCAGGCCGAATGGTAGAGGGTTAGGAGGTCACAGAGGTAGGAGGAAGCAAGACCATGGAAGGTTTTGCAGGTGAGGGCCAGGATCTTGAATAGCATCCTCTGTGTGATGGGAAGCCGGTGGAGGTGGGCAAGGATGGGGATGAGAGAGTCCCAGAGCCTGGTGCGGGAGAGGACACGGACTGCAGAGTTCTGAATGATCTGCAGCCTGCGGAGTTAGGAATTGGGAAGACGACAAGCAAGGAGTTTGCATAGTCAAACTTAATGTAATTAATGTGCGTATGAGGGTTTTGGTGGCCTGCGGTGTGAGACAGTGGTGGAGCCGGGCAATGTTGCGGAGATGGGGGAAGGCAGAGCAGGTCATGGCACAGATGTGGGGTAGAAAGGATAGTTGAGGGTCAAGCAAGACACCAAGGTTCCAGACTGGCTTAGCAAGGTGGAGTGTGCAACCATGGATGGCGATGCTGTCAGCACCTGAAGTGTGGAGGTGCTGACGGGAGCCAATCAGGAGAACCTCGGTCTTGTTGATGTTCAATGAAGAAAGTTAGCTCTCATCCAGGACTTGATGTCCAACAGACATTCTGTCAGGACAGCAGTGGTCCTGAAGTCAAGGGTGGAGGCAGAGAGGTACAGTTGGGTGTCACCCGCATATATATGGAAGTTGACTCCATGTCACCAAGAGGGAGCATTTCGATATTGAAGAGGAGTTATTGAGCATATAGATTTGAAGTCATGCTCAAGCTGCACAGTTCTCTGGTCAGGCGGCATCTGGAGTACTGTATACAGTTAGGGAACCACAAAATAAAGGCCCTTGAGGCAGTGCAGAGGACGTAGCAAGATTGATCTCCAGTGTTAGAGGATTGAGTTACGTGCAATTATTTGGCAAGTTTAAGCTTTGCAGCTTTGAAAAGAGTTGGCTCTTATAAGCTTATGTAAGAATCTAAATAGAATTGAGAAAATAAAACAGAACAAAAGTTCCAGATATGTTGATGAAGCAGACCAAGAAGGCATAGGATCAGGATTCCAAAGGGCAATTTCAGGATAGACACTAGGAAGTGTTGCTTTAAAGAAGGTAATTAATGACTAGACTGGGTTACCAAGAAGGGTGGCTGTCATGAAACAGCTTGATGCTGTCATGGAAATATGGTAGCGTGATTTTGTTTTGCCAGCCAGGGGTTCGTTTGAATAAAGAATGAAGCTAAAATATGAATTGTCAAGAACTCATAATACAAACACACTCTGAACAAGAGCCTTTATTTCTATTATTTTAGGCTTCCATGTTACAGTCCATAATTTATTGTACATTATTCTCAACACACAAAGGGAAACACAAAAGCAATTATTGCACATTTTATAAAGTTGATTATACATCTTTTAACACCTATTAAAAATATGTAAAAAAAAGTCATTTTATTATACAAATATTATATATTGTTACAAAGCTGAAGCAATTCCTACTACGATTCATAGAGTCCAGTCAAGAAACTCACAGTGGGTTGAAAGATGCATTTTTCAAAGACAAAAGATGGGAAGATGAACTATTTTACAGAAGGTTTATGTCCCGTGTGATGATTTGGTAAGAACACAGTTTGATATTGATTTTAAATCTATTCAGCCATGAAACACTTCAATATCAGAATTTTGAAAACTTGAATTTAGGAGGTCTGTGGTATTACAAAATACGTTTTGAAAGAATACAAGTTATAATATTCAGAGTATATTGATTAATGCCTCTGCTAATGTAGATTTTTGGTTTGTGTGTAGATAGTGATATATTGTGCATTCTGCTGAAATCCACATACAACTGTAAACATTCACAGACAGCAATTGGTTTCAAATGTTAGTTCTCTTTTATCATAATTCTTAATACTTGGTTCTATATGAAACATTAATGAAATCCAGTAGCAGTAGTTTCAGCCTAGTAACACTAGTGATATCTCAATGCTCATTTTTATTTCTAAAAACACAGAAAATTGTGATTTTTTTTGTTGTTTCTTTATAATTAGACATTTAGACAATTAATTGATTACAGTGCTGATCAGGTTGCTACAAACTGTTCCTTCAATGGAAACAAACTTTGGAATTTTGTATTTGTTAATTTTCCTAAAAAAAGGCAGTCCATATTTACAAGGGAGAGAGATGTACATCTTTTGAGTGGGGCTCTTTTGGATTCACCAGCCATTACAGGTACAACAAACAATATGCTCGAGAACTGGAAGTATCACTCAAAACAGTCAACCATCATATGTAGCAGATATGTTTAAATATTACTCAGATTGGCCCCAACTGAACAATTTGGATATCTTCATTGACTGCAGACTTATGATAGAACCTTAACCACTTCCATGATTGTTTTTGGTGTAGACAGATGCGCCAGCTGACAATTTATCACTAAATAAATTATTTGGGGGACGGAGGAAGAGAGAAGGCGGGGGGGGGGGGTGTGAGCGGGGTGGTCAGTGCTATTGCTCCTGTACATAGCATCAGAATAGCAATGATGTAGTGATCAGAACTAAAATACTTTGCTTTTTTTTAAAAAAAGACACAGAACACAGACGTTCAAACTACAATTGTGCCCTAGCTTTCCAGATTGCAAATGTGTCATTTTATTCCACGCAGCAATTAATCAGAAAACAAAAGCAACCACAACTTCCCGTTACTCATCCAAAGCTCCATAAACAATGACTCTCAGGATTTGCCCCTTACTGTTTGTTGGCAGTGTGTAAATGCATGATACTTTTGTTCAGGGTACTTTTCAGAAGCAGCTACATATGCTCCTTTTGCAAAATATTGAACAGACTGCACGGTGACTAAGAATCAAATTGAATAGCCCGAGGCAAAGCCATGTTACGGTTTCCTTCATCAGGCAAAAATATTTTGTGTAGAACCAAAAAAGGGCACAGACCTAACAGTTTGCAGTTAAATGCAATTAGATACAATTTGGCACAATGAAAATAGCAATGTAAAATTAACAAAGCGTGATGATCAAGCACAGTGCTAAAATGTGGATGAACATTCAAACCTGGCAATATCTACCCTCACACTAGAAATAGCACCCAAGAGTAAAATGTGGACTGATAGGTGGCTGCAACAATCAAACTGGTACTGAAAATACAGGGATTGTCCCTCAAGCAAATTGTCTTAAGTTGTTTTCAAAACAAGTATCTCTCAATTCATTATGATACTGGAACTGTTTATATTTGGTCAGGGGACTCCATTGTCAGCAATTAAGTGACAACCGACACAAATTTTCCACCCTCCTGTCTTTGAGAAATAATTTTCTTATTGTCAATTACAAGCAAGATGTGGTTTGTCTAAATCTAGACTCTATCAAATCATTACATTGAAGGTTTAACTTGAAGAAATGTTGGAGCATTGAACTATACCACTGTATCAGCCAGGGACAGGTGCAATTTAACATTGAACAGCAATTTATTGACAGGAGTTTTTTGATATGTCCGAAGGAAGAATTCCTTTCACACAATAAAAATAGTTTTCTATCAGTGTGTAAGTTTAGTTTGTTAATTTTTCCATGCTTCTTATGGCTGTTGTTGGTATTGACCTTCTGTTGCTGTGTAAAAGTCTTCAAGCAAGCTTTTAAGATAATCGAAGGTTGGTCGATCTTCAGCTTTGCTTTTCCAGCATTCCTTCATGACGTCGTAAAGCTCCATTGGGCATTCTGGAGGACGCTGCATGCGATAACCACGCCCAATAGCATTTACCACTTCTGTGTTGGACATGCCTAAGGAGAAATGAGAAAGATTTTTTTTCAATCGAATGAACTGAAATATTTTTATATAAATCTATATTGTGCCTTTTGTGACCCATAAACTCTTCAGGCTTTGAATCAGGCTTCGAATGGCCTCCCTTCAGTTTCCAAATGCATTCAAGCAATACCTTGTTAATGAGCATACCTCCCTCTCACTGAATGCAAGCACTCTAACATTAATGGAAAATAAAAACCTAAATGCAGTAGAGGAGTAAAGGGATCTAGGGGTACACAGACACAATTCACTAAAAGTAGCAACACAGGTTAATAAGGCCATTAAAAAAAAAGCAAACCAGGCATTGGGGTTCATTTCTGAAGGGATAGAAATGAAAAGCAGGGAAGTTATGGTAAACTTCTATGGAACCTTGGTTAGACCACACTTAGAATACTGTGTGCAGTTCTGGTCCCCACATTATAGAAGGGATGTCGAGGCACTGGGAAGGGTGCAAAGGAGATTCACAAGGAGGATCCCAGAACTTCCTATCAGGAAAGGCTGTACATGCTTGGACTCTTTTCTCTTGAAAAGAGGGTAAAAGGTGACCTGGTAGAGGTCTTTAAAATGATGAAAGGTTTTGGTAGGTTAAACATAGGGAAGATGTTTCCACTTGTGGGGGATACCAAAACCAGGGGCCATCAATATAAAATAGTCACAAATAGATCAAATAGGAAAGTTAGAAGAAATTTCTTCACACAGAGAGTAGCAGGAATGTGGAACATGCTACCACAAGGAGTTGTTGAGGCAAATAGCATAGATGTATTTAAGGGAAAGCTAGATAGGTACATGAGGGAGAAAGGAATAGAAGGTTATGCTTGAAGGCTTAGTTGAGTAAGTGCAGGAGGAGGCTCATGTGCAGAATAAACACTGGCATAGATCGGCTGAGCTGAATGGTCTGTTTTTGTGCTGTATATTCTAATTTTTCATACATGGCCTATGGTCAGCAGTATTGCAGGTGAGATCAACAACAAAAAGGGCAAACGTTTCATTGAGCAGCACTTGCTAGTGGAAATGTTGAGTAATCTCACACGAAATGGTTACCATTTTGATAAAAAGCCAACTGGCCATAAGGAAATGTGAAAGTCCATGTTTTAAGATCCTAACTTGGATATTTGCAAAGCTAGGAACACGATTTCAACAGCCCCTGGCTGTAACATGGGCTAAGACACAGATAGGCCTTAAGATGGATTTGAAAACAGAGAAAGAAGACTACTTCTTGGTGTCTGAGTGCATTATTTGGCACCAGAATCATTTGCGCAGACTACACACACTAGCAATTTGAGGATGAAGGAGTTGTAACATGAAAATGTTGGTGTTCTCTGACCACATTTAACATGGGTAGAAAACACTTTGGCGTCCCAACTTTTAATCACTTTTTACTGAATTTATCCAATTTTTCATCACATTTTTACACCTTTGTTTTCTTCTGATTTCTGAAAAATAAAACTTGAACAATAACCAAAAAAACCTGGGTTTTTATTTTGTACGCAAAACAAGGTTAACGGATCTTAACAATGGGATAGGGCAGAAATGCAACAGAGCACACTAAAACTAGGTCTAATAAAAACAGAATGAAAGATTGAAGATGGGATGCAAAGTCTCTCAGAAATTTGCAAGTTGGCAAGTTGCCTTGATATCATTTCCTCTCACTTCAGATGGAATGTCATCCTGTCTGTTTGAGTAAGTCAGCAGAATGTTTTTGTCTGATTAACACATTCGGTAAAATGAAGGAACTGAGCAAGAGCATTGCAGCACTTCTCAAAGTTACCATCATTTCCCGTATTTAAAAAACAATGAAGCCACAAAGTAATTCCAAATAAGGAACTAAGCACTTCTAAGACGTTAACCTGCTGGACACTTGGAAACAGAAGGGGATAAATTTCATCTAGCTTTACATACATATATAGCTTTATATATATATTATACCTCAAGCGCTTCACAGAATATACTGTTAAGTGTCGTGATTGTATATTTTGTGAGCGAAATGCGGCAGCTAATTGCTCACAGCAGTGTTTCACACAGTCGTGGATTCAGTGACAAACGAAAAGTCACTCAATTGGGTTTTTGATTAATTTAGAATTAAATTAAAATTCCTTATTAACATTGCATTCGGAACCACATCACTCCCACCCTCGCTCGCCTCCACTGGCTCCCCATCCCCCAGAGGATTGATTTCAAGATCCTCATCCTCACCTACAAGGCCATTCACGGCCTTGTTCCCTCCTACCTCTCCAACCTACTATCCCCCTACCTACCTGCCCGTACCCTCCGTTCCTCTGGCTCTGGTCTGCTCCACGTCCCCCGCCTCAACCGCCCTACCATCGGTGGTCTGGCCTTCAGCCTCTCAGCCCCCAGGCTCTGGAACTCCATCCCCCAGTGCCTTCGCCTTGCTTCCTCCTTTCCTCCTTCAAGGCCGGTCTCAAAACCTTTCTCTTTGACCGTGCCTTCAGCTCCCCTCTCGACTCTCTTCCCCCTCCTCGCTCCCTCCCTTCCTCCCTCACCCTGACATTCCCCCCTCCTCGCTCCCTCCCTCCCCTGACCATTTCCCCCCTGCTCGGGTCATGACCCAACTGTGCAGCGCCTTGGGACGTCCTCCTGACGTGAAAGGCGCTTTATAAATGGAATCTTGTTGTTGTTGTTGTTGTTGCATTTCAGAACTTCAAAAAATTGGGAAATTCTTAAAATACAGTCTTCATTTTGAAGCAGGTTTATGTAAGTTTCTTTTAAGAGCTACAGAAAAACAACTTCAAAGTTAAGGCTGAATTCAACATCTTAAATACTTTAAAATGCTATGTAAATACATGTAAACCCTGGTAGAATTTGCCCATCAGCTTGGCTCAGTTAGCAGCATTCTTGCCTTTGAATTGGAAGGTTATGGGTCCAAACCCCACTTTGGGATTTTGGATTCATATTGTCTGGGCTGACACATCAATTAAAGTACTGAAACAGTGTACAAAGGCAAAGCAATAATGCTAAATTTGTACAAATACCTTGGTTTAGTTGCAGCTGGTGTACTACATTCAGTTTTGGGCACCTCATTTCAGGAAAGATGAGGAAAGGCATTGAGGGGGGAGCAGAGGAGGGCCTTAGTTACAAGGAGAGATTGGAAAAATTGGGTCTATTTTCATTGAAAAAGAGAAGGTTGAGAGGGGACTTGAAAGAAATGTACAAAGTTATGAGGGGTTTTGACAGGATAAATACTGTGAAACTATGATAACTTTGTTACCCTAAGGGAAATAGCTGAAATAATAATAATAATCCTTGGATTTGATATAGCACTTTTCACACTTCTAGACATCTCAAAGCGCTTCACGGAATATACTGTAAAGTGAATTGACTGTATATTTTGTGGGCGAAATGCAGCAGCCATTTGCGCACAGCAGTATCCCACAAACGTCGTGGATTGAGTGACCAAATTATATCTTGAATAATTAAGGGATTATTATCCTGGAAATGCAATCCGCCAATCGACTAACAACTGGGTTTCTACTTACTGCCAGGTAATCAGAGGCGTGTGGAGTAAAGAAACTTGCCCAACATTTCCCCCTGCCGGGAATTGAACCCAGGCCTCTCATTTGCAAAGTGAGTGCTCTCACCACTGAGCTACAGGACTCCCCACAATGACTACTTATCAGAGTTGACTCGTTAATCAAAGTACAATATCTCAAAAGTACAAAGTGCATGAATAACCGGGATATTGAGTGATTGACTAGTTATGTGACGTTGACAACTTTTCCTAGGGGCGAGTTATCAGCTTCGCTGTAGGGAGAAGTGATTTCCACTAGTAGGGGAGTCAGTGACTAGGGGCCAAAGTTATAAGAGTTGTTGTAGAATGACCTGACAAATAAGGTGGTAAAGGCGTAAGTCCATTGTAGGTTTCAAGAGGAAAGCATACAAGGTATATGAAGGATAGAGGCTTGAAAGGGTTTGGGAATAAATCAGGGCAGTGAGATTGAATGAACGTCTTGCTTTGAGAGCCAGTGTAGACTTAAATAGGCAAATGCCTGACATCTGTGCTGTAAATTTCTTTGATTCTATGCTTCTAGTGCTAGGGGTATAGTACATTGTTGGAGGTGACGTCCTTCAGATGAAACATTAAAAAGTGGCTCTTTTATCTGTTCAAGATGAATGTTAAAGATCCCATGGCACTGTTCAAAAAGAGAAGGGAGTTTCTCCCGGTGTCCTGGCCAACAATCTCCTGAATAAAAATGATCATTCACTTCACTGCTGTGTGTGGGACATTTCTGTGTGCATATTAGTTGAGGTTTGCCTACAAAATACAGTCACGTAACTCTACAATAAATCCTGTGAAGCATTTTGAGACATCCTCCTGACATGAAAGACGCAGTATAAAATGCAAGGATCATTATTTCTCTCCTACATATTGATTTACTTTAGAAATGTGATCAAATTGACTAGTGAGTGTCCTCAATGCCATTGATAAAATCTCACATTTGATGACATCAGAAGCAACAATATGCAAATTCTTAGGGCTGCTGAACTAAACAATCAACTAAAAGCATCAGTAAGGAATATGCTACAATTAACCACATGATAAGCCTCATTTTCTAAATGCAACATGCAGATTCTTAAGAGCTTCTGAACCAAAGAATCCACCAATAACGAGTGTCGCAACTCAAAATATTTGACTTGGGTATAAGGAGACTAAAGGACAGAGATGGCTGTATTGGAAAAGTCATTCTGGCCCACCAAGATTATCTTTGTGTTTTTTCCTGCACTGAAGCTAACTATTTTATTTCCAATTACCTGCTTTTCACAATTGTTTCTAAAGTCTTCCTCTTTAATTCTGCTTGGCCAATTCTTTCGTAAAGATTATGTAGTAACCACTTGAGATAAAGAATTCCATTTTCTAATAATGCTGCATGAAAATATTTTTCTCAATTTTCCCTAAACCTTTCCTGATCTTTTGCCCTTTCGTTACAGCTCGACCAACTGGGGGAAATCATCTATTCTCTCT